GCCGTAGGGCCTGATGTATAAACCAGCTGATTCATTTTTAATGAGTTGGTGCAATGACAGGCCAAGTGGATATTGCGTCGTCCGGGCGAGGACATTGTCTCGCAGCAGGACGCCCAGATGGCAAGCCACGGGGCCCCTGGAGGGCGAGCCAGGGGAGCCAGCCAGAGCTCGCGCAGTTGAAGAGCATTGGCTGCTGACAGCCTTCTGGACTGGCCTCCGCCACACTGGCCTGACAGGGCTGGTGTGGGCACCGTCCACATTTACTTCTCTGGCTGACCTTTCTCTCTCCGAATCCTGTGCATTGGGGTTTTCATATGTCCGCGCCATCCGTCTGGCCTTGCTGGCCTCTGGCTCCTGGAACATCTCCTTCTCCATGCGTTCTGGGCTGGCGCTTCCGAACTCCTGCTTCTCAGACCACTCCCCGCTGCGGCTTCTTGGTACTGTTTGTAATTATAGACCCTCTCAGCGTTGTTTTATTGGGTGCATACCATGTTAAGTGCTCTCTCTAGGTTATGGTCCTGAACCTCTACCACCACGCTCAGAGGGAGGGGGGAGTATCTCCATTTTATAGACTGAGGCTCACAGCATTGAAGTCACTTGCCCACGGTCACAGAGTGAGCCAGTTGGGGGCGCCAGGCTTTGGGTCTGGATCTGCCTGGCCTGGGTCTGCCTGGCCTAGGTCTGCCCACCCCCTTCCCTGGTACTCCTGCGAGGAGTCCATGAGAGGCCGATGTCAAATCCCTGACCGTGGCCCTGGCCCCCAGCAGCATTCCATGATGCGAGTCTTGCCCTTTCTAGCAAAGTAACTTTTGTGACTCTTCCAAGGCGACCTCCTCCACCCCCAGTTCACTCCAACCCGTTCAACCTGCCAGGCTATTTGGAGCTCACCTTTATAGGCTTCTTGTTCTGAGGTATCAGGATGTCAAGGCCTCCTGTCTGTCCTCTGCGTGGGCCTACTTGTTCCCATCTCTAGGCATTTGCCCCCACGGTGACTCAGCCCAAATGCGCTGAGTCTGAATTCCCCCTTTTGGCAAATTTTAACTCGTCCTCACCCCCCTTCCCCACTCCCTACCCTATAAGCCCTCCTTTGGGTACTCTGGGTTGTACTCCTGATCGCCAACTCCCCAGAATCTTCTAGAGGCTGAACATCCAATGGCAAATCGAAATCGCATCCTGCCTGGGTATTTAACCATTTTCTGGGGGATCATCATCTCCCCGTGTTGTAGTGAGCTCCAAAGAACCAGCTGCACGTGCTTCCCCTGGGGTCCCCCCAGTGCCCAGCTGGCCAGGCTGCCCAGCTGGCTCCCTCAGTCTCTACTGGCCTGGGCCCGGGCAGAACTGTGCCCATGCAACTGGCTGTGACAGAACCCAAGGCCAGGCTCTTGGCTTGCTCTCGGTGGCCGAGAGAGACCATACTGTTACCCCTGGACTTGTGAAATCAAGAAGGATCTCATCATAGGTTTAAAAAAATAATAATGATGTTATTTTTCTTTTAAATTCATAAAAAATTTTGGGAGGTACCTCGGTGGCACATTCAGTTAGGCATGCAACTCTTGATTTCAGTTCAGGTCGTGGTCTTGGGGTCATGAGATTGAGCCCATGTCAGGCTCTGCGTGCAGTAGGGAGTCTGCTAGAGATTCTTTCTCCCTCTCCCTCTGCCCCTCCCCCCATGCTCAGTCTAGCATGCATGTGCTCTCTCTAGAAAAGAATAAATACTTCTTTAAAAAAAATAAGTCCAGGGACACCTGGGTGGCTCAGTGGGTTTAGGCCTCTGCCTTTGGCTCAGGTCGCGATCCCGGGGTCCTGGGATTGAGCCCCACATTGGACTCTGCTCAGCAGGGAGCCTGCTTCCCTTCTTCTTTCTCTCCCTGCCGCTCCGCCTACTTGTAATCTCTGTCAAATAAAAAAATCTTTTTTTTTTTTAAAGATTTTATTTATTTCATTTGACAGAGATCACAAGTAGGCGGAGCGGCAGGCAGAGAGAGAAGAGGAAGCAGGCTCCCTGCCGAACAGAGAGCCCGATGCGGGGCTTGACCCCAGGACCCCGGGATCATGACCTGAGCCAAAGGCAGAAGCTTTAACCCTCCAAGCCACCCAGGCGCCCCATCAAATAAAAAAATCTTAAAAAAAAAAAATCTGTAAACATTTTAAGTTTAATCAGACTTTACCTCCTCATCCTGTCACACCAATCCCCTTGCATTGGAAGATTTTATTTTTAACCCCTCATTTTTTTTTTAAAATCAAGAAATCTCCAGGTATCATAGAAAAATCGGGAACCACAGTGAAAAAGAATAAAAAATAACCTGTACTCATGCCATCTAGGAGCAAATACAATTAGTACTTTATTGAATATTCTGTATTCGTGCATATGTATTAATCAAAGTGAGGTCAGTCTGCACAGGCTGCTGTGTGTGGAGCTTTTCATTCAGGTATTTCTTTTACGTCATCTTTTTTGATGCTCTAGAAAGGATGAGCCATTCTTTCTGTCACCAGGCCCTGGCTGCGGGGTTCATTGGTGGCTCGGGCCACCTCTTTGGCTTCCAGCCTGGTCCTGAGTGCATTTCTCCATCCAGATGGTTCTGTTCAAGTGTGCTTGGGGCAGCAAAGTGCGGTGGGAAGCTTCATGGCCCCAGTGCCGGGATCTGGGGAGTCGGGAGGCTGGGTGAGGAGAGCGGGCGGGAGGGGCAGGGAAGGTCTGTCTGAGGAGAGGACGGTCACTCCAGTCTCTTTGCTCTCCTCGTCTCATCTAGAGGAGAAGAGATTGAATGATCTCAAAGCGCTTCCAGCTGGGGTCGATTCCTTGCCTGCAGGCTCTCCCGGAGACCTGGGCAGGGGAAGAACCGGGTATTTATTTACAATTGCTGTCCTGGCTGTTGGATGTGGTCTGGGGAAGGTTCATCAGAAAATAGGGGCTGACAAGAGATGGAAGTGGAGGGGAGAGCACCCGCGTCAGAGCCTCTGTGCCGCCTGGGCCCATGATGGTCACATGGAAACTGCTTTTCACAGCAGAACACCTACAGAGTAGTCTGTGGATCCTTTCTAAATTTTTTTTTTTTAAGCAAAATTAAGTGGGCATTTATTTTAAGTGTTCTTCTTATAGACCTTATCTGGTATGATGACTGATATCTTTAGGTACAGGCCTCGGAGAGATCCAGGCCCAGGCAGACAGGTCTCCCTCGTTCCCTGTGAGGCCATGACCTCCCCTGGAGCTGCTTCTAGTGCTTTGTGTCCTGGTACAGAGTTGACATCTGATGTCACGTAAGTGACAGTGAGCCTTTATTTAACTACGGCTTTAAGTCAAGCCATAAAGTCCAAGGTAATGACATGAGTGGAAAGCATTTCTGGGTGGGGATGAGGCCACGTGACCACGGCCTTCCCTTCCTCCTCATGTTACTTCTTAATAGCAGCATCAGTAACAACAAGCCCTTTCATTTGTGCTACGAGCTCTGGCTTGCAAAGTGTGACCTGTTCGGGTCAGCTCTTGTGTGGCCTAGCAGGGCCCTCAGGGGCCCTGGCTTTCCAGCCAGTGCCCTTCGCTTGGGGCTGGGCTGGTGCCCCCTGGAATGCTGGGAGAGAAGCTGAAGGAGACAGGGGAGTGGAGGGTAAGGGCTTGGAGCACATGTGTAGTACAAGGTAGAGCCAATGTCCGTCTGTCTGTTTGCTCAGTAGAGGCCTCCCGTGGTGAATAGGGTTGGAAACGGACCTGCCACATCTAGTCTAGATCTTTCTCATTTAATATAATGGATTTAGAGGGAGGCTCTAGGCTCAGGGGTGAGGGTTCCTGCCCATTTCCCTTTTCCTCACATTTTAGCTCCAAACTTTTATTTATTTATCTATCTAGTTATTTATGTATTCTGAGGATCCACTCTGACCAGGGTCAGGAATAGCTGCTTTTGCCCCCCTTTAAAACAAACAAACAAACCAACCCAGTTTGTCAGTTAGATGTATTAAAATTAAAGAAGTAATTCCGAAACCTATAAAGTAAAAAATGAAGTTGCCTTTCTTCCCCCACTCATGGATCTCCCTCTTTTTCCTCTGTCCAGTTCTCAGTTACGAACCTGTCTTAACAGTTTGGTCAGTGTCCGTTCAGATCTTTTAGCACACGTGTACCAACACCAAGAGGTATTGTTGAGGTGGTTGTTTTGTTAAATATAAAAGCAGGGCCATGCCACTCTTTCTCCTTTCCTCTCCTTGCAGTTTGCTTATGCCAGCAGAATGGCTGGGCACTAGGGCCCCAATTCTCTGAAATCTCATTTCCTGCTCCAAGGGGAGAAGGGTAAGAGGGATCATTTCTCTAAGTCCCGTGCTTTTTGGGTGAATCCTGACTGCTCTGTGTGCGGCGGACCCAGGGCCTGCGTCCAGGTCTCCTGACTTCCCTCCTCCGGGTTCTGCGCGTTTTAAATAACATCCTCCTGTCTTATCCCTGCAGATCCATTCCCTCAACATCGCTGTGGTGGTAGCGGTGCGGGCTTGGGGCGTGAAGAGCCTTGTTCAGAGTCAGTGCCCAAAGGGCCCGGAGCCCAGGGCTCTTTTGGTTGAGTTGAGTTTATCCAGTGTTTATGGAGTGGCTACTGTGTGCCCAGGGCTGGGGTTGGAGAGATAGCCCGGCTGAGGGCCTGCCCAGAGCGAGTCACTGACTGTCCTTTGTGCTCCTGGCAGAGTGGGGCTCCCTGGAGAGCCTCTCATTGTCCAGAGGAGGGGCCCCATTCCAGGACTGGGCCTTGAGACTGGAGGAGGCCCTAAGATCTCTGTGGTCACAAGAGCGGGAGGGGGGTCTGTGACTCGGCTGCCCCTGTAACCCCTGACTTCTCTCTCTCCCCACCCCCACTTCCTCTTTCCCTCCCTCCCTTCCTCCCTCCCTCCTTCCTTTCTCCATGGCTCTTTGTCCATTTGGATCCATCTGGCTCTCTCCGTGTGTGGTTCCTGTCCCCTTCGCTCTGTCCTGTCACACCATCGCTGCCCCTTTCCTGTGTCACATGCTCTCCTTCATGCTAATGCAGGCGTGCTGGTCACCATGACAACAGAGACAGGCCCCGATTCTGAGGTGAAGAAGGCTCAGGAGGAGGCCCCACAGCAGCCCGAGGCAGCCGCTACTGCGACCACCCCTGTGACCCCAGCAGGCCACAGCGGCCACCCGGAGGCCAACTCCAATGAGAAGCACCCGCCCCAGCAGGACACGCGGCCTGCTGGACAGGTGTGTGTCTAAAAGCCTGGACATCCCTCTCCCTGCCCAGCCGTCCTCCAGGGCCAGTTTTCAGAGTGGGGGGGGGGGAGCCAAACACGGATTAATTACTGATCTGTTACATGCTGAGCTCTGTGCTGGGGGTGTTGTGTGGTCATGTTTATATTTAATTCTCCCAAATGTACAGATACATATATATACATACATATACACACACATACACACATACATATATATTTATATTTTAATTAAGTTAGCATTATTCCTAACATGGGTCTTGAACTCATGACCCTGAGATTAAGAGTCCCATGCTCTGCTGACTGAGCCAGCCAGGTGCCCCTAAGAGAGTGGTATTGATTTCTCCATTTTACACTTGGGGAAGCAGTGGCTCAGCAGATGAAGTGAGTTACCCAAAGTCACATTGTTAATACAGTGACAGACGGAAATAAAATCTAGATCTGAATCCCAAAACCTGGTTCTTTCCACGTTATTCCTACCCCCTGAACCTGTCCATTCTAGCCTGGCAAGCCCAGGATGACCCCAGAGTAAAATGCATCCCCCTAAAGGAACAAGGGACTTGCCGAATCATCTAGCCATCCAATTCACACCTCCCTTCGTTCGGGACAGGCCGAGAGGGCAGGGACTTGGCCAAGGTCATTGAGGGCATTGGTGGCAGTTAGGACTAGCTGGCAGGGCTCTGACCTCCGTTCCCTCTGTGAGATCAGGCCACGAGTTCTCAGCCTCATGCTGGAGCCGTGACAGACTGATAAGGGGGAGACCAGATGGAAACTCTGATAGCTGACATGCTACTTTAGGGAGCCAGGGCAGCTCTGGTTCTGTGGGATGCTTCCCACCTGCCAAGACTGCCCCCCTGAAAAAGTGACCCCTTCCACGAGCCCACCCTGTTGCCCACGGAAGCTCTGCTTCTTCTCCTGTGTATACTAACCATAGATGCTGGTCACCCTGGGGGGCGTGGAGGGCGGTGGCTCTCATTTTGGAGACCATCTTAGCCCCGGCCGCTGTGTCCTTACTGTGTCTTCACGTGGATGAAAGGCTGTGGTCTCAAGCTCACTGACCAGACTTTTCCCCTATTGGACCTACAGAGCCTAGACATGGAGGAGAAGGGCTATGGGGAGGCTGATGGCCTGTCGGAGAGGACCACGCCCAGTAGAGCCCAGAAATCACCCCAGAAGATTGCCAAGAAGTATAAGAGTGCCATCTGCCGAGTCACTCTGCTTGATGCCTCTGAGTACGAGTGTGAGGTGGAGGTAGGGAGCGCCCCCACCGCGGGCCCGGCCCCCAGCCGACTGGCCCCTGAGCCAGCACAGGCTTCTGTGTGCTCTCAGCCTGGGCCGAGCCAGAGAGCGTCCATTCTTCATAGAGGCCTGGACTGACCGCGGCATCCTGGAGCGATGACCTGGCCAGCCCTCCTTTGTACAGATGGTGGCCCCGAGGCCCAGAGAGGGCTGTTACGATTGCAAATGGAATTAGATGAGGCACAGGGTTGGCACCAGGAAAAGGTTTCTCCGGGGGGCGGGCTGTACCTTGGCAAGGAGTCAGGATCCAAGGGCTGATCTCTAGCCCGGAAGGCCTTACAGGCTTGGCCCTTCAGTCTCACCTAGCAGATACTGGTGTTGCAACTCGAATTGTTTTTATGTTTTTATTGAGCAGAGGAGGGGGTCTTCCCTTATGAATGCCCCTGTCCAGGGCAGTGGACAAACTGGTCACTTGAGGCTCCCATGATATGGGGTGCCCAAGGCATAGACAGGTGGACTCTCTCCCATCGGAAGGACTCCATCACCCAAGTCATGTGGAAATCCTGTGGCATGATTCTGTCCCACCATGGGTAGAGAGGTCAGACACCTCCTGTCTGGGGTCAGCCCTCCCGGCCCCACATTTACTGTCTCCCTTTCCTATATAGGCTCAGACTCCCACCCTAGTCCCGAGCTCTCACTCATCCCCTTAGAGGGTCCACCCTGGTCTGGGCACCATTCCTGGCCCTCTCCAAGTGTATGGAAGGGTCCAGAGGGTGGCCTTCCCTGAGAGCTCCGGGAACCACCTCTCTCTCTCCCTGGTGCTCCAGCCTGGTCTTCCAGGATATGACTTCTTTCTAGGACCTGGCAGGTTGAGTCTCTCTTCTCTGCAGTGTTGGTTTGGGTTTGTTGTTATTGTTGTTGTTTTGGGTTTTTTTTAATTTTTTTTTGTTCTATAGAAGGATTTCAAGGTGAACATCTTGCCTACTCCTAGGCAAGACTGAGTGAAATCCAGGGCAGTCCAGCCGGGAGCGCCACTCCTACCTGGGCAGCCCTGGATTTCACTCAGTCTTTGTGTCAGCAGAGGGCCAGGGAAGAACGTCTCACTGTGACTCTGAGTCCTGAGCCCTCCCCTGTTCTCTGCCCACATCCCTCATATTTCAGTTGGCTTTTCTCTCCCTCTTACACCTGAACTTAGACTTGTGGTTTTCTTTTCCGAGAGTCAGAGTTAACCTCCTTAATCTCTGTGAAGGAAGCGGAATCAATTACCTGCCACCCGAACTCCCCCAGAGCAGGTCTAAGATCTAGGAGGGCCCCAGCAGGGCTGGGCAGAGGGTAGTTGGTGAACTGGGCTTTAGTGTCACCCACTAAACTCCGAGTCCTACCCATCTGGTAGGACTCGGAGAGGTAGGTGGCAGGAGGGCTGAGATCCCCTTTAGACGCCGGGAGACTCTTAGGGATTTCAAAGGTCCTGGTGGAGTCTCCCTGCCCCCTCTCCCAGGTGTGTCCCAGCCTCACAGTCTCTCTGCTCCCCTCTTCAGAAACATGGCCGGGGCCAGGTGCTATTTGACCTGGTCTGTGAGCACCTCAACCTCCTGGAGAAGGACTACTTCGGCCTGACCTTCTGTGATGCTGACAGCCAGAAGGTATCTGTGCTGGGGGGCAGGGCTGGCAGGGGATGCCTGCTGTTGGGGACACCTCTTGTCTTAGGCCTCCCTAGTCCTGACCACACCCTGTGCTTTCTGTCAGTCCTCAGATCCTCATTAGGCTCCTTCTGTTTGCACATAGCCAAGACTCATCTAGCCCTGTCTGTCTCAGTTCTCTGTCTCTACCACTCCCACCCAGCCCTTTCTTGGGGACCTGCCAGTCACTCCCCAGATGGGTGCCTGGAGAGCCGAGGCCTGACTTCCTCAGGGAATGAGACACTTACTCTAGCACCTCTTTTCCACCCTCGGGAGGCCCCTGTCTGGGTTTCCTCTTTCCCACCGGTCCCACAGTCGCCCACCCCGCTGACTCACGGCGGTGCCAGACTCAGGGTGCAGGGTCCCAAGCCCTGGGCCCTCCCCTTATTCCCTTATTCCCTCCCCTCCCAGTTCCAGAGGGTCCAGACAGCTTAGCCTGAGAAGGGTGTTCCCTGCTTGGGGCTGTTGACAGGCTACTGCTGGATGTCTCTGTCTCATAGCCCTATCTGGCCCTCTCCTCCATCTTCCCTCTAAAGAACCCTGTCTTCTCTTTCAGAACTGGCTGGACCCCTCCAAGGAAATCAAGAAGCAGATCCGGAGTGAGTGGCTGGTTGTGGTTGGGAATGTTGTGGAAAGGAGGGTGGGAGCTCCAGGGTGCACGGCCCCGGTTGTGCTATTCCCTCTCCCTTGGGGAAGTACATTCAGACCCGTGAGTTCCTTTGCTCTGCACAGCAGATCTTGGGGGAAGGCAGGACATTGTTTTATAAATGAAAACCGGAAGCAGGGACAAGAGAAGTGACCATCTAGAGTCACAGAGCAGGTTAGCCTGGGAATCGTAGCTGCCTTCAGAGATGGCAGCTCTAGAAGGGACTTGCAGAATCATCTAGGACAAGGGGACAAATTGATGTCCTGCAAGCAGCCTTCCTCCTGTCCAAGGCGGGTGTAGACTTCTGTGATCGGTGACCCTTGACCCAGCTCCGAAGCCTCATCCACACAGCGCTGCAGACCACTGTCCACGGATGGGAGTTAACATGTTAAGGAAAAGCAAGGCCTAGTCCTGGTCTGGGCCATCTTCTGTGTTTAACGATGGGGTGACTGTAGGCCCAGAGAGAGGCAGTTGCTTATCAGAAGTCAGAGAGTGAACTATTGGCCAAGCCAGATCGTTAGCCCTAGACTCCCAACACCATCCTGCTCTCTTTTCAAGGCCTGGGGTGAAGAGACAACCTGTCCTTTCTGGCCCAGAGAGGAAAGGCATATTGTGAGGGGCGGAGCAGGCGTCTCATGGCAGAAGGGGGGAGGTAGGTGGCCTCAGCCAGGGGGCATATAGTGGGTGGAGACCTGGAGCCTAGAAGCAGAGATGCCTCCACTGGGAGCCCCTCCCCCTTGGCTCTGCTTGGACTCCCTGGTCCCCGGGGCTGGAAAGCAGAGCCTGTTGCCATGACAGCAGGCAGCTGGGCCCAGGGATGCCAGCTGAATCTCCGGGAGGGGCTGGAGGGCTTCTTCCTGTAGGCTCCTGTCAGTTGAAGACAAAGAGGCAGGCTCGCAGACAGAGCCTGCTCCTCTGGGCCTGACAGGGTCCTAGGCCTGGGCTTCAGGCTGTCCCTAGGCGTCCCAGCCCAGCTGGCAGGCCTTCCTCTCATGCCTGAAAGGACTGGAGCACACACAGGCAGCTTGAGTGTGCAGTTCGAGGAGGACCAGGAGCTTGGAAAGGAGAAGCAGACGGCAGAAGCCTTAGAGCTCAGCATCTTTCCCCAGAGGAGGGAGTCGGTCCCCCATCTCCGCAGCCCCGGGCAGCACAGCCTGGGCGCGGTGAATGGTTGCTGCGTGTGGCCACCTCCAGTCCCAGAGGAGCGGGCCTGCCCCCTTCAGCACAGCCGCAGTCTCTGTCCCTACCTCTGGGACTCCTACCTATTCATCTTTGTTCTGCCTTCTGGGGCCAGCATGGAACAAATTTTTTTTTTAAGATTTTATTTTTTAGTAATCTCTACACCCGACGTGGGGCTCAAACCCACAGCCTGAGGTCCCGAGTCACATGTTTCCCTGACTGAGCCTGCTGGGCACTCCACCATTGTTTGCCCTTTTCTTTGTGACAGCCCCTCAGCCTCCTGAAGGAGGCACCACCCCGTGTCCTGGGCTTCAGAGCTGGGGACATTTCCTCCCAAATCTCGGTGCCTGTCACCTAGGGCACTGGGGGCACCTCTCTGGGCTCTTCTCATTGGCAAGGCGGGGATGTCAGGGACAGCACCTGGGACGTAGTAGGTGCTCTCCTGAGGTAGTCTGGTGTGATGCTTGACAGACGGACATGGGAGCCAGACTGCCTGGGTTTCCATCCTGACTCCAAGACTACTCACCCTTAGGGTTGTTGTGCAGGGTTAACGAGCTATTCTGTGCACAGCACCTAGAACGGTGCCGGCACGTAGCAGCGTCCGGTATGTATTATCTATTATTATTATTACCACTGCCGCTACTATTATTTCTGACACAGGGATTGTTCTCCTTGATGCTGCTTTTTCCAAGGAGTCAGCCGTGGTCAGGAGCCCAGGTTCTGGGGTCAGATGACCAGGGGTTACATGCCCGTTCTCCACCACTGACTAGCTCAGTGATCCCAGGAGGGCAAGATCCCTCAGAATCTTCATCTGCATAAGGAAAAGTTTACCTCAGGATCATCATGAAGATCAAACCCTTCCGTGTGCACCTCAAGTTCCTAGCAAGTGAAGTGACCAGCACTTAGTAAGTGCTGGAGATGTTACAGCTGAATGGCGAAGGGGGTGGTGACCATAGGGACAAGGACGGTAGTGACCACATGGCCTCCGGCCCTTTGTGACCATGGTCCTGCCTTGGCTGGGCCTTACAGCCCACCCAGGGGTGGTCTGTTCATTGCTCTAGATTGTAGCCTTTTCCCAAGTCCTCCTCTCTCTCCTGCGGTCATCCTTCTCTTGGCCTACAGAGTTTGTCTCCAGGAAAGCCTCAGCCTTTATTTCTCATACTTTCATTTCATACTTTATTTCTCTTACCTTCATTTCTTATACTCTTTATTTCTTGTCAAGCACCACACTCTACAGCCTGGGCCTCAGTGTCCTCATTTGCAAAATGGGGGTAGTCATCAGACTTACTCATAGGGCTGTTGCAGAGGTTACTGAAGTAATGTTTGTGATGACCAGTAGGCCTGGCGTGCACCATCACTTTTCTTTCTTTCCACCTTCCTTCCCCCTGCTATGTCACAAGTCTTTCAGCCTGGGCCTCGGTCTCTTCATCTTTCAACTGGGAATAATATTCCAGGCTTTCTGACTGGATTGTCCTGGAATTAAAGATACGAGAAAATGCTGAGGACTTGCCCATGGGCTGGTGCATCTGGGCCATCCACTGGGGTGATGGGGCCTTTCTGATTGTTCCCCTGTCTCCTCCTCTCAGGCAGCCCCTGGAATTTTGCCTTCACAGTCAAGTTCTACCCCCCGGACCCTGCCCAGCTGACAGAAGACATCACAAGGTGAGGGCTGTGGGGCCAGGGGGCTGCTGGCCATGTGACTAGGAATGAGGGCGCCCGGGCCTGGTAGGACAGTACATGTTGGCAATTGTAGACTCAGATGCCCGGCCAGGCCAGGCAGACAGTGTTGACAAAGGAAGGTGACTCAGGGTAGGAGGAAGTGGCGCAAACACCACAGTCAGTGGACCCTCCGCTTCGGAGGTGGGAGGCGTCCCAGGCAACATTTCTTTGACTGGAGTTGAAATTCAAGAGGACATGTGCCATCTCGACAATTGCCGTTCGGCTCCAGCCATCCCTGCCACGTGGGGACTGGACCCCTTGTTGAAGTGAAGCTAGAGATTTGAGAGTAAAATCCACGCTTTTAAAATACTGGCCATGAATTCAGAATTTTTAAAAAACATGGTGGAGGCCATCTCTGGATGGGACAAGCCAAACACGTCTGAAGGCTAATGTTCTGAGTGGACCATTTTAGACTTCGGGGATAAGGAGTGAGTAGAGCGCAGATGGCTTTGCATGTTGGAATTTGGTCCCATGTGCTGCTCTGTGTACCTGTCAGGCATGTAAAGGTCGGATTAGACATGTGACCTCCCCCTACCCCCATGGAGGCAAGCCTGGTCTACCGGGATGAATATGGATTGTGTGTACAATCTCACAGTGCCTCAGGGCCAGGAAATAACGTGGCTTGAAGAGTGGAAGGAGGTGCAAAGCATTGTTGAGAATGAGAACTTCTGGGGGGCTCCTCCTGCCTCTGGAATCAGAATAGGAAGAGGCTTTTATCTAAGCCCCTTCCAAAGAGATAGTCTTACTTCATGATATCTGGGGCTGTGTCATCCATGTGCTGGGTCCTACACACCACCAAGAATAAGACGTGGGCTTGGAGTTACTCCTACAGCAGGGGACAAGCTTCTAAGCCAGCCTCTCTCCCCTGTTGGGTCCCTCCTGAATGTTGGCTGCCTGTTTGTAGGGCCATAGTCACGATGCCCACCCTGGCCTTGGGGGATAATACAGATGTCCCTGGGATAGATCAGATCTGAAGCCTTGGCCTCATTAGTCCTGCCCTAACCCCTAGGGTCGCCTTAGAGCCAAGATTTAGCTACAGGGTCTCAACTGCATTGCCAGGAAGGCTGAGAGCTGTAGACTGGCTTAATCCCCATCCCTGTGGTCTTACTCACTGGTATCTCTCCTCTTTGTGCCAGACCCTGGGCATTGGGCTTCTAGGGACACAGGAGAGAAATTAGCCCTGCTTAGGATGGGTGACCTCAGGGAATGGGGTGATAATAGCAGCTGATTTAGTCAAAAATATTCAGGCCCAAAATAAACTGGTCAGAATGACAAATTGATTGAAATGGTATATTGGTCAGGATATTTGGCAGTGATTTTCGAATTTTTAGACTTGAACGAATTGCCCTTAAGCCCACACCGGGTGTCTGTGATGTTCCAGCTGCTACTGATTCTGAGCCTACGCCTTGGCCCCAAGCACGCACTGAGGCCACATGTACTTTTTGCCAGAACTTCATGTCATGGAGCAGTAAAGATTATACCGAGTAAAAGGCACTTAAAAGGAAAAGAAATAGGCAATTGGGAACAATGGTGAAACATGGCAAAATGCAAGGAGGCATAATTGGCTGAGAATGAGCTGAAACTTTTTTTTTAATGCAGTAACTGAAAAAGCAACAAAAATGGTTTAAAATGGAATGGGTCTAAAAATTGTAAAATCATCCAAGTGTGCATAAAGTTATAAAAAATCATATCCTTGTGGTTGGAGAGGTTTCTTTTAAAGCAGTTTGTTTTTAGACAATTCACTTAGAGCTGGGGGCAAAATTAAAAAGTTTTGAGAGAATGTTAGTGACCAGGTTTGTCCTAGCTGTGGAATGTGGTACCGGAGTTGAAATGAATGAAGTCAGGTTGTTTGTGCTGATGTGGGAAGGGCACTAGGCAAGTAACTGGGTGTGGAAAGAACAAGCTGGAGAGTCAGATGTACTCTTTGATCCCATGTCCCTGTTTAAAGCACCCATGAATCAAAACACATGCATTTCTATATGTCCATGGAGGAAAAAGGTCTGGAACGCCACCTGGATAATAGGGGTGACCTCTGGGAGAGGGGACTAGGGCTGAGAATGGACATCGAGAGGAAATTTAGAATTACCTCTAATGTTTACATTTGTTCCACAATAAGAATATAATTCTTATGTATGATTAAAAATACATGACATTAAAAAAAAAAAGGTCAACCAGCAAAGCAGTCCTACTTAGCTTGAAAATGAGATAGAAATTTCAAAGGTTCCCACAGCAGAAAAAAATCCCTCCAGGTTAGAAATGAACAAATGTTAGAAATTAACAAAACGCTGAAAGGCATGTGACAAGGGACAAAACTGTCTTCTAGGGCACACCCAAATTATCAACACCTGAAATCCTGGCGTCTAGGAGCGTTCCTATTCTACTGAGCTGAGTGTTGGTGGTTTGGTTCTGATGGACGGGTGCGTGACGGTGCTGGGGGCCTCTAGGGTGGGAGTGGGGCCTGTGCCCATGGCCACTGTCCCCTATCTCCAGATACTACCTGTGCCTGCAGCTGCGGGCAGACATCATCACGGGCCGGCTGCCCTGCTCCTTCGTAACACATGCTCTGCTGGGCTCCTACGCCGTGCAGGCTGAGCTGGGCGACTACGACGCCGAGGAGCATGTGGGCAACTATGTCAGCGAGCTCCGCTTCGCCCCCAACCAGACCCGGGAGCTGGAGGAGAGGATCATGGAGCTGCACAAGACGTACAGGTGAGGGGCCTCCCCTGGCTTCTCCGCCATTGGCTGGGGCCCAGGTGCTGGGCTGGAAGTCTCCCAGCTGGCTCTGCCCCTGATTGCAGGTGCTTCTGAGAGCCAGTCATCTCATCCCACTGGGTCTCTCTCAGATGGGAATGGTAGTCACTAGCTGTCTCGGTCTTGGTATAAAACTCAAAAGTTTGCCCTCTGATGCCGGGCTGCCTGGGTTCACATTCTTGTCTCTGCCACTTTCTAACCAGGGCATCTGGGCGGGTCATTTCGTTTCCTCATCGGTTCTCCGTGGGCGCTAATAGAAGGTGCCTTGGCGCTGTTGGGGGCCATGTGGCACGTGGGACAGAGACATATTTATCATTGCTTTGTGATCTTAGGAGTTGAAGAGTTGATTGTGCAACAGAAAGCTCTTTATTCCCGAAGTTAGAAGATGAGTAACCTGATGGGTCATCGTCGGGCTGGCTATTTAACTTATCAGCTCCATTTTTCACAGGCATATGTACCGATTTAGATCATCCTTCTGTCTTAACTGTTGGTATTGGGGGAAGGAGAATTCATTGCGCAAGGTGTCTGGCATCCCCAGGCTCCAGGCAGTAGATGCCCCTAACACCCTGTCAGGCATCGTAACCACAAAAATGCCCCCTACCCCATTCCCAAATGCTGCTGTGAGGTTGATACCATCCCTGGACCCGGGGTGGGGGGGCTCCCCTGGAACTAAATGGTCTCTGGGATCCCTTCAAGTGCTTTGGATTCTGAGTCAGGGCCATTATGGGAACACAATGTGACCAATGACGTACAGTGTGTCGTAAACTGTAAAGTGCTGAGCCTGTGGGAGGGTGGGTGGTGACATTATCTCATTGCTCATGAGGATGGGAGGCCTGAGGAGGGTTGTGTCTGGAGATGAGGACAAGGGCCAGATGTGGAGGGATTATGTACAGGGGTGAGAGCCTGCTGGGGTGTGACAGAACGCTGGGTCCCAAGGGGCAAGTGTGTCTCTCAGAGACTTGCACGCCGACTCGGGTTAGCAGTGGCTGCTGTCATACTGTGGTGAGAAGGACACTGAAACCGTTTGGCTGGTCAGCAGTGTCGGCCGGGGCTCGGGAATAGGGAGCAATGGCCTGCCTGCCGTCTGTCATTCTTGCCATGGGTAGCAAGATGTGGGAGGGATTTGCAAGGGTCCTAAGAACTCAGAGAAAGAAACCCGTGTGTGGGTGGAGAAAGGCTGGTGGCCATCCCTTAGCTTGCTCAGCTCTTTTGACTGAAAGCACATGGACACCTAGTGTCCAGGCATCTCCCACGGCCGCTTGGGGAGGCGGGCAGAGCAGGGGACCCCAAGGCCCGGGGGATATGACCCAGATGGAAGGGAAGAGGTTGGGAAGGAGCACACACTCTCGAGCCAGGTCATCTGGATTCAAGTCCCGACTCTTGCTCCGTAATAGTTGTGTGGCCAGAGGCGAGTGATTCAGCCTCTCCATGCTGGTGGGAACGATGACAACACCAGCTGTGCGGAGCTGTGACGAGGACTCTGTGAGGTCATGCACGCCAAGTGTCTGGAACAGTGACCAGCACGCCGTGCTCACTGAAGGTTCTCTGTGGCTAAATGGAAAATGTATAGTTCCCCTGCAGCCAAAGCAAAGAAGGAAACTGATGAATTGCGTAGCTCTCTTGTCAGACAGGAGAATGCGCAACAGCTCCTTGGGGGGGATTAAGTGGTTTCGGATATAAAATTCTGAGAAAAATATCTTCCTTGGGTGATCCTTTCGGAGCCTCTGGGTGATTGTAATGAACCATGGCTTCCACAGCGCCTTCACAGCCACAGGGAAGCAGAATCGATGACTCATGTTGAGCTCTGTGGCAGAACGAAGCAGAAATTCCAACTCCCAGCTCATCCCTTGAATACTGCCCGGAGGAGACAAGACTGGACCCGAGCTTTGGCACCAGGAGGGGGTTGGGTGACTGGAAGCAAGGGCTGACAGCAGAGGGGAAGGACTGCGAGCAGTTTAGCCATATGCCCACTCCAGAGCGTTTGCCTTCCTAGAATCCCAGGTTCTGATTGTGGCCGCCTTTAGCCAGTGGTACTTAGGCCTGGGCCTTTTCCGTGGCTGCTTATGATCGTGTTCTTTCCTTTAGGGGCATGACTCCAGGAGAAGCAGAAATCCACTTCTTAGAGAACGCCAAGAAGCTCTCCATGTATGGAGTAGACCTACACCATGCCAAGGTACTCCTGGGCCCCGGCGTCTCCCTGGCCTCTGGGGAGGGGGGGGCGGTGGTCATGTCCCTCGTGCTTCAGAGGGCTTGGTGCGCCAGACCCTGTGTTCCCTCTAGCCCGAAGCCTTTCATATTCTTGTTTCTCATTCCTCAGAGTTCCTTAACACTTTATCTTCCCATGATCTTTATAATGTTTCTATATTCACTGTATTAAGAACCTGTTTGTACCACCACTAGATTGGGAGCATCATTAGAGAGAGACATAGGCTTTATTTATTTTTTGTTTACCATGATCTGACTTTATTTATTTATTTATCTATTTATTGATTTTGTAAACCAAGTTTTTTTACATTTCAATTCAATTAACATATAGTGTATTATTAGTTTCAGAGATAGAGTTCAGTGGTTCATCAGTCTTATATAACGCCCAGTGCTCATCACATCACATGCCCTCCTTAATGTCCCTTACCCAGTGTCCCCATCCCCTCACGCCCCTCCCCTCCAGCAACCCTCAGTCTGTCTCCTGTGATTAAGGGTCTCTTCTGGTTTGTCTCCCTCTCTGGTTTCATCCTGTTTTATTTTTCCGTCCCTTCTCCTCCTCTGTTTTGTTTCTTCAGTTCCACATGTGAGTGAGATCATCTGGTACCTGTCTTTCTCTGACTGACTTATTTCACTTAATTGGCTTATTCAGAATCATAACGTCCAGTTCCATCCACATCATTGCAAATGACAAGATTTCATGTTTTCTCATGGCCAAGTAGCATTCCATTGTGTATATAAATACCACATCTTCTTTATCCATTCATCAAGACAAAGGTTTCAGTTTATGTCTGTGTCCTTAGCACACAGCCCGTGGCCTAGCACCACACAGGCGCCACTAAGTGTTTGTCGGTGAATCAGTGATTGACAGAATGATCAGATGGGGGCCTGGGTGAATGGCTGACAGAATGAATGAATGAACGAATGATGCCTGTGTGAGATTGGTGGGGGTCTTCCCCAACACACGGGCTCTGACCCTGATCCTGAGGGCTGATCCAAAAGCAGAGCTCAGGGAGGGATTCGGGGTGCATGGCAGGCGTGGCCCTCAGACCTGCCATTTGATGATGTCTTCCCATGCAGGACTCCGAGGGCATCGACATCATGTTAGGGGTCTGTGCCAACGGCCTGCTCATCTACCGGGACCGGCTCAGAATCAACCGCTTCGCCTGGCCCAAGATTCTCAAGATCTCCTATAAGAGAAGTAACTTCTATATCAAGATCCGGCCTGGGGAGGTGAGCCTGCCTTGGGAACCCCTCCTTCTCACTGGAATTGTCTAGAACGGACAGGATCCTGACCGCTGAGCCTGGGTATTTTCCTACTTAGGCTCCATGGAGAGGGTTGCTAGGGTACTGGGTAAGGGGAGAGTACTCCTCTTTCTGGGGCTCTCTACATAGACTTCATGCCTTAGCTGTGGGCCTACACACATGCACTGCACATACAACATACACAGACACACACATGGAAGCACACCTAGGAGGATAACCACATATGTTCAGGTTACACAGATCAGCGATTACCTGTCCACTCATGTCCGTTATCTGCTTACATGCAGTATCCAAGTACGTACACATACCAAAACACACGACCGCACATGGCAGACATGTATGTCCAGCCTCCACATCTCACCCATCAGAAGGTCCATTGGTTTGTACCTCTAGAGGAAACGCAAACCCATCTGCTTCTGTCTTCCTCCACTGCCCCAGCCACCAACGCCACCATCTGTCACCTGCCTCTCTCCGAGGTGCCTCTCCTGGGTCCCCCTGCCTCCATTGTCATATCAGGCCATTTTTCTCGTAACTGCTAAGGAGAGCTTCAAAGTCCCTTCCATCAGATCATGTCTGATGGAATCAGATCACTATCCCCCACTCCCACTCCTGCCTTAGACCTTTCAAGAACTCTCTGGCTCGTGGGCTACCGTCCAGACCCCGCATGTGGCCATCTGCCTCTCCCACAAATCTCTGTTCCATGCCCACTGTGCTTCAGGCCTCCGGCCTTCTGACTTCCCAGGATGAGCCAAGCTCTTTCCTGCCTCCGGCTTTTGCTTTTGAGGTTTCCTCTACCTGAAATTGTCTTCCCTGCCTTCTCATATAGCTGGCTCCTTCCCCATCCTTCAGATGTCTGCTCAGAGATCACCTGTTTAGAGAGCATCCCCTGATCACCCTTTCTAAGACAGATCCTGACCCCCGTACCTGCCCAGGCATTCTCTGTTCGTTCCCTTCAGGCCCCCTTATCAGTGTCCGAAATGATCTTGTTTACTAATTTATTATCAGAGCACCCCTTCTCCGTCCCTGAGAATCTTCCGTGTTGGTCACCATGGTGCTCTGCTGCTTAGCACCGAACCTGTTGCCAAGTAAGGGCTCAGTCCACTTTATTGAAGAAATAAATGAATAAATGAATAAAACAGCCTGAAATCACACATGCCCGAGAAGAGTTCAGAAAAGATGGACCAGCGGCGAGAGAGCCCCGGCCTTGCTTCTAACCCGCTCTCCTTCGTTTTGCAGTATGAGCAGTTTGAGAGCACAATTGGCTTTAAGCTCCCAAACCACCGGTCAGCCAAGAGACTGTGGAAGGTCTGCATAGAGCATCACACGTTCTTCCGGTGAGCCTGCCCCTGCGGTGGGGCCCTGGGGTGGGTCCTTGGGGGCCGGGCAGAGGCCATGCGTATACATGGATGCTCCGTGACAGGGAAGCCGGAGAAGGAGCTAGGAGGGAGGGACTCCGGGAAATCCCCCCTTGCCAAGTTTCTCCTTTTGTGGGTCACTTTGAGTTGTAGCTGGTGGGACAGTGGGCTAAAAGGCCAGCTGTGGTCCAGCCTTGGGCCTGGCAGCCCAGGTCTAATTCCCCTCCTCCCTCCACTGCAGGCTGGTGTCGCCCGAGCCCCCGCCCAAGGGTTTCCTGGTGATGGGCTCCAAGTTCCGATATAGTGGGAGGACTCAGGCACAGACCCGCCAGGCCAGCGCCCTCATTGACCGGCCTGCACCCTTCTTCGAGCGTTCCTCCAGCAAACGGTACACCATGTCCCGCAGTCTTGATGGAGGTACGCCCCAGACTGGAGGTGGATAAGGGGGGCGTTTAGTGGGAAGAGGGGGCATGCCAGCTTCCGTGGGATGAACGGAGAAAGTGGTGGACAGCTCACTGGTTGATTTGCACCAGGCCCGGTGGCCCAGGAGCACTGTTGGCCCCAGGCCCCAGACTGCCCGTGGCAGTCTCGCCCAGTCTATGGCATCTCTCCCACTAGAACGTGACATTGCCACTCTCTGGACACCTGCAACTTCCCTGAGTTGTGGCCTCTTGGGGTCCCAGGTTCAGCCATATGGGTTTCTGGGCCCTCTCCTTTTGATGCTTAGTGAGTCACAGATTGTCATCATACCAGGAGAATGGTATATGGTCACTACAGTTTGGAGCAGGTAAGGCCTTTCTCACCAGAGGCTGAGGGTTTGTTGTTCCTGGTCATTCTTTTGGTTCCAGTGAACTGATTGACATCCAGCCACATGCTGTTCTCCATGGCCCTCATCTCTGTTGAGCTGACAGGTACCCTTAATATCAACGAGAACTGGCCCTACATTGTCCTGTAGCAAGCCAACCAGGGCTTCTCAAAACATAGTCACGGGTGAGCTGGTTAAACCTGAAGATTCCCAGGCCTTGGCCCACACCTGCCTCGGCACTCAGGGCCCAGGACCCTCCCCTGGGCTGTGCACCCCAGAGTTTGTAGGAGAGGTTCAGAAGCCACATGGGCAGTAGGGAGATTCCGTTAGGCACATGTGAGTTCAAATCCCAGCCTTTATACTCACAAGCTGCTCTGCAGACCAGGAAGTTGTCCTTAAATATCCACACGTGAACGGAGGGGAGGTCTCAAGTAGCTAAACTTTCCCTGTACCTGTTTCTTCTTCTGCAAATAATGCTGACTTTGCTGTGTTACAGAGAGAACTAGGCATGATAACACCTAACACCCCAAAAAAGTTCCTGGCACATAGAAGGACCTTAACAAATTATACCTAATTATAGTTTATGATTATTCTTGGGTTTGTAGAGAGTAGCTTAAGGTAAGAGGTGGGGACTTACATGGGGGAACAGTGGATACTCCCAGAACACATGGGGGCAGGCCTCCAGGCAAGTTAGTTCTGCCCAACAAATATTTTCTGAGTATTGGAATACATTTCCTTTGAGGAGCTCATAGAATGGTAGGTTTGTAGGCATTTAAGGTGATTCAAGCGATGGGAGAAGTATGTGCAGAATACAGAGCAGCCATGAGGAGAGAGAGATTAATTCTGTCTAGGAGGGCAGAAGGGGCTTTGCAGAGAAGGTGACAACTGGGCAGGGTTTTGAAGGATATGTAGGAGTTTTCCAGGTGGTCAGGAGAGTCTGAAACTTTCCCTGCAGTATGAAGGTGAAACCTGTCCCAGGATTCTTTGACTATGTTCAGAGAACATGCGGTTTTGCAAAGGTTCATTTGAGGCTGAGGAAGCTCCTTTCCTTCTTAAGTGGGCACAAGGCGGAGAGCTAAGATTTGTGCGAAGGGAAAGTACAGGCTCTCTATTCTCCCCTGCAGCTTCCCTTACTCTTCCAGGGCCTAAATGAGGCCCAGATTGTGCAGGGTCACAAGGATTCGTCTATAGAGCTCATGAGGCTCGTCCAGGGAGGACCAGAAGTCTGGACTCTAAGCCAGGAGACCTGGGTCTTTGTCTTAAGTCACTGAAAGGTCATCAGCGGGACCTTTCCTCTCTCAGAGTCTCATATTATCCTTTGTAAAATGAGGATAAGGATTCCCATTCTAGCCATCAACACAAAGGATCATGTGGATCAAATGAAATAATGTGCAGAAAAGGGAACTTTGCCGAGTGAATATATATGAATAGATAGGTTAATTATTCTCTTCTAATCTAGGCCAAACCCAAGGATAATCTGTGTTCTGGTCATTTGAATTCAGTGTTTTCCAGCCATTTTTTTTCCCCACCAAGACATAATCCATGGGCATAGTCTGGGTTATGCCCAGTGCCTAGTGTAAAGCGCATCATTCCATCCCTTCTTTCCTATTCAGAGAACTACTTTGGAATGCCAGTAGGTGAGAAGGAGTCCCCTTGAATTTCCCCTGATTTATAAATATTGCAGGAGTCCCCTTGAACTTCCCCTGATTTATAAAGACGCTAAATTATTTGCAAATCTCAGAACTTTAGCTTTCACTGCTACATAATGGTCAAGCAAGTGTCCATCACAACCATCATGACAAAAACCTCACCATTTGTGGACCAGCACTGATTGAATTGGCTCACTCTGTGCCAGTCTCTCTTCTAAGTATTTATATACATGGAGCTTATTCATTCCTCCCCCAGCTGCCTAAAGTAGGTATTGTTTATAGATGAGGAAACTGAGGCCCAGAGAGGTTGTGTAACTTACCAAAGGTCACACAGCCCAGAAGCGGTGGATTTGAGGTTTGAACTTGGGCTTTGGTGCTGTAGAAGTCAGGAGGGGATCTGGGGCTGTAGAAGTCAGGAGGGGATCTGGGGCTGGGAGGTAACTGCGTGACCTGGACAAGGCTTCCTCCCCTCTCTGTGTGCTGGCTCCTGATCCCCGATGTGTCGAGGATGCCCCACTTCAGCCATGGTTGGGCGGGTGGCAAGCCTGGCTCCTTGTCTGTCCCCCTGGGAGAGGTCTTACTCAGCTACCCGGCCATCTCTGTTCATTTTAGCGGAGTTCTCCCGCCCAGCCTCGGTCAGCGAGAATCACGATACGGGACCTGACGGTGACAAGCAGGAGGAAGATGGCGAGTCTGGGGGCAGGCGGTCAGAGGCTGAGGAGGGAGAGGTCAGGACCCCCACCAAGATCAAGGAGCTAAAGGTAGGAGCCTGGCTTTCTCAGACCCTCTGACCTGGGATTAGGAGGCTAATTCTGGGTCTAGCCTCGGCCTTGGCCTTGAGGTATTCCCAGCGGTGGGAGAGCACCCTTGTTCCAGGCTGCACCACAGGAAGGGCCTTGCCCAATACATCAACAGCCCCTCATGGTGGGTGGTAGGTGTGCTGCTCTCTCTGCACTCTTGCCCTCTTTTTGTCCTGCTTCCCCACGGGGACACTTTGACCCCTAGAGGACTCCAGTGTCCTCTTGCCCACTCTTAATTTGTCCCTTTGACTGTGATCTGGGTCTGCACGGACCCCTTCCTCCCCAGAGCATGCCCGGGTGTCCCTGTGGGCCCTCACAAGGATGAGGTTCAGGTGTGTCCCCTCCTGCTGCCTCATGCATTCCCCACATACCTGTACACACACTCACGTGGGGACACGTGGTTTCACTAGCATGCATTTGCTCACAGTTGTAGACCCCTCTTACAGGAGGGGTCATGTACCCAGATGTGCACGCAGTGGGCACACACACGGGCGGGGGCACATACAGGTGTAGCATGTTCCCATCGGGCAGTTGCCGCTTGGAGCACAGGCTCCTGAACACACAGGCTGACAGTGGAGGCATGAGTACCCAGAGCCCTCATGTCCCCTCTACTGAGTGTGACTGTCCGCTTTGCCCACGGTCCCCCAGCCCCCTTCTTCACCTCCATGGGCTCTCTCCCTGCCTCCCACCCTGCCCTTTCTGTCTACCTCACTGCCCTACGGGTGGTCACCAGCTTCCCTGGCCTCTGCTCCCTGGGAGAGAGCCCTATGGGCTACCTGCTGCACCGTACCGGGCCAGCGCGGTGCCTCTAATCCATTTGTTCTACTGACCTTGCTGGTTCCTTCTCCTCCTCCCGCATCTCGCTAGCTGGAGCAGGAAACCACGCCGAGACACAAGCAGGAGGTACTGCATGGGACCTGTCACCACTTACCCAGCCATTCACATCCCTAGCTCATTTGTCACCATCCCATAGTCCATCCCAGGCCCATATTCTGCACCATCTCAGCTTCAGCTTTGCCTCTGCTCCTTCTCCCCAAGGCCCCTCCCTTCCCCTGCCCCCCTCCCCAACCACCCTGACTCTCCCCACCCACATCTACATAGCTCCCCCTCAGACCCCACCCCCTGGCCAGCTGGTTCCCCTGCCCTCTTCCCCCTCCCTCCCTCTAACCAGCTTCCCACTCTGCCTCTTCTCACCACCCCATGCTTCCTTCCCATCCCACCAGTGTCCATCAGCTCTTCCAGGCCATTCCGTGCTTTTATTGGTCTCATCTCCCCTGCCCCCCCAAACCCTTCCTTAGACTCACTCATCTCTTCCCCACGTCACCGTTTGGTCATGCCTCCACTCATCTGTGTCCTCCCTGACCTCACCCCAAGCTTCTTTTTGTATCTCCTGGCAACCGATGTGGGAGTGGGCGTGCTGGGTGGGGGGCAGGGAGGAAGCTCCGAATGCTTCTGCCTCTTCTCAAGCTCCAGCTGTCCCTCCTTTCTGGGTGGGGCCTGCTGCTCCAGCAGGGAGAGCCTCTTCTTTCCTCCTCCCTCGCCTCTTCCTCCTCTTCCTGGTGGCTTCTCTCCGCTTACTTCTCAGTATTAACAACTTCTTCCCTTTCGCACAGTCCCCAGCTCTTTCTCTGCACCTTCGCTGCCAGAGACGCTGGTCTCTTGGACCTGAGGGAAAAGACCAAGGGCTGGGACCTAAGGGCTTGGCCTTGGTGTCACGTGAGCTGGGTTTCAGCCTGACCCTTTGAGGGTCGTGGGTGAGCCCCCTTGGGCCCCAGCCCCCCATCTGCACAGCAAGGCATTTGGACTAGGTTTCCCCAAAGCCCTTAACCCTAATCAAGGATCCCAGGGTTCCACTGCTCTCTCTCACCTCCGAGAACACTGCGAGTGCCCAGAGGCCGCGTGACAGGGTCAGGCTAGAAGGTCATAAGCCATATCTTGGGTCCGTTACAGCTCAAACCTACCCCCTTGTGCAAACTTGTTCCGTCCGACTTCTCCAACCTTGTTGTAAGGTCGTCCTGCTCAGGAGGGGACATGAGAAGTACAGACAGGTGTCTGGAGGGAAAGCAAGGCTTCGGTGGCATCAGTCTCCTCCCCGAGGTAACTCACACGTTCATGGTGGATCTGCGGGTGCCAGAGATAAGCCAGGGGAAGATTTCAGCCTTTCCAAGAGCAAGCTTGTCTTCTGGGCACTTCTTCGAGTCTGCCGATTTGACTTTATAACAAGCGGAGATGGTCCACTTCTTGTCCTGAGTTGAGTTGCTGGGACCCCAACAGCCTTGCAGATAAAGGCGCTTGAGCCAACAGCCCGCAGAAGCAGGCTGCTCCTCACCTGACCTGGAGGGGGTCACTCTGTCCTGCTGCATTGGCTTGAGCTCGGACTTGGCAGTTTAATGGGGGACGTGCCCCTGACTCCCGCTATCCCGGGCTCAGCTCTGGGATTTACCTCTCTCCTTCCAGGTCTCCATTTCTCCTGCCCTCCTAAATGCCCTGCGGCACCCCTGCCTCTGGCCACAGCTCACTCTGTTTCCCCATGAGGAGTTGGTATCACAAGGTGTCCACAGGACCCTGGGTGATTAGGAAAGGTAGTAGCTCACCATAGATGGTGCTGAAAACCGTCTTTTCCTGGCTGCTGTGTGGGAGCAGGGCTCATTTTTCTGGGGATCCCTGGCTTTAGGAGTATCTGAGAAGCTCACCTCTCGGGCTGACAGGGGCCTAGACTGGGGATCCTGGAAGTCAGGGAGTGGGCCACAGCAGCCCAGCGAACAGGGTGGGCCAGTTCTCCCTGTGCCTTGGTTGTAACCAGAAGGAAGTCACCTCCATGCCCAGTTGAGATGGGATACACAGCACCAGAGGGGACTCAGCTGATTTTAGGGGATTTGGGTTACCTTGGGGGTTCTGAGGCCGGAAGCTAGGCAAGGGGGAAAGAAAAGGTGATGCTTGCCCGGAAACCTCCTCTTCTTAATCCTAATTGCTTCTCGTTCCTCTGTCTAACCTTAAGTGCTTTGAGCACCTGTTGGGGCTTAATCATCTCTGCACTGCTTGGCTCCTGGGGTGCAGTGAGGGTGAGAAGGACTCACGGACGGGAATCACTTAGCTGATGTAGGGCAGCGATGGCCACGCTTACCATCCCCTGCTCAGAGCTGTTCCTCTAACACACACTGCCCTCTCCATCCACCCCTAGTTCCTAGACAAGCCAGAGGATGTCTTGCTCAAGCACCAGGCCAGCATCAACGAGCTCAAACGGACCCTGAAGGAGCCCAACAGCAAGCTGGTCCACCGGGACCGAGACTGGGAGCGGGAGCGCAGGCTGCCCTCCTCGCCCGCCTCCCCCTCCCCCAAGGGCACCCCTGAGAAAGTCAACGAGGTAGGTCTCACCCTGAACCCCTCAACAAGGGCTTCAGGTAAAGAGGGTCGGGAAGGTTGCTCTGTACTCCAGCTTACACTCCTCCTCCCACCTGTATGCCTCCCCCAGTTGCTGCATGAGGGGATGATGGGGTGGGGTGGGGTGGAGGGCTAGAAAAGCAGGTTCTGTTGATTAGACAGGCCCCAAGTCTGACCAACAGAATCAGAATATTTGGAGCTAGAGCCCTGGGATCAGCATTTTGAACAAATGCCCCCAGACGATTCTCGTGCACCCTAAACTTTGGGAATCCCAGCTGTTGTATCCAGTAACCAGATCCTTTAGTGCCTGTTGTGAAAACACAGATGGTGGGATATGTGTGTGTGAGAGGGGGTGGTTCCCTGCTGGAAGAATCCTCAGAGCCCACTAGAGGAGAACAGATCCTCCAAGAAAATCAGACCTGCACCTCTTGCTTCAGAAAAGGATCCCACACCCACCTGCCTTTCGGAGTGGAAAGCATGGGGTGTTTTCTCAAATGCAAAAGAGATAAAGATAGGATCATGAGAATTCCTGTATTTATAATTCCAAGCTATTATTTTTAGCAGTGCTAAATCTTGGCAAGTATTTACCCCCATTTATACTTCGGTGTTTTCTCTCTAGCACTGCTGCTTACTTGTCTCAAACCCAACTGATCTAGACTTTCACCACCTGGGTTTGAATTCTGGCGCTGATTCCTGCTAGCTGGGTGACTCTGAGCTTATTACTGAATTTCTCTGAGCGTCCATTAGGCAGAGATAATAGAAGTACTGACCTTGTGGGAATGTTGTGAGGACCCAGGGAGATCAAACACAGAGGAGCTGGTAGAGGGCCTAGATGCTCAACAGGGGTTTAATGGTTCATTTTGAGAGTCCTGGGACTCACAAAGAAGGGTTATTTCAAATCCAAACCACTCTTTTCTTTTGTAAAGATTTTATTTATTTATTTATTAAATAGAGAGAGAGAGAACATGAGTGAGGGCAGGAGCAAAGGGAGAGGGACAAACAGACTCCACGCTGAGCAGGGAGCTTGACACGGAGCTTGATCCCACAATCTTGAGATCATGACCTGAGCCAAAATCATGAGTCAGATGCTCAACCGACTGAGCCATCCCTATGCCCCCCCAGAACACCTTTTAAAGTTGGAAGGACCCTCAGAACCTACTTGGTTTGAGCTCATCACTTTACAGATGGGGCACTGAGGCCCAGAATGGGAATATACTTGTTCAGGGTCAGCTGGTAGAAGAGGGGCCAAAACCTGCTTTCCTTGTATCCTGGCCATTGTATTTGCTGTTACATCACAGCTGCTGGGAGCAAGACCAAATCATGGGAAGACCAGGATAGAGTCAACTGTGTACGTACTGCCCTCGGAATGCTTTGAAATTTGGTGATGCCGTCCTGATCTAATAAGTGAACATTTGATTGATGCCGGATAACAGGGCCTCACCGGGGGAGGCTGCTGTGTTAGTTTCACTGGCTGGTGATTCACAAAATCACCAGGGATTCTTTGAGAGTCTTTAAGTCCAGTGCAGGAAGGAGGGCCAACCTGCTTCTGTTGAGGGCCTCTGGGGTCACCCCTGGCACTCTGGACTGGGCCATGGGGGCCGGTCCTCTCCTCTTGGGTACGGGCCCCACTCCTCCTGCCTTGGGAGTCTTAACCAGAGTGGCCTGGTTGGGGCTGAGGAGGGATGCAGAGGCTTTTGAAACGGTGGGACTCCTGTAGAGAAGGGCAGGATGAGCCCTGGGGAGCTGGGCTGGGACGCTTCCGGTGCCCCCGAGGAGCCTGGCTTGGGAGTGTGCCCCACCTGCTGGTCATAGCTGGAACTGCTAGAAGATGGGTCTTATTCAAAGGTGGGGTCTGTTTCAACACTTGCCCCTCACTGTTACCCTCAAGAGGTATAGTCCACTGCTGGAAAGAATTCTGGTTCAGGAGCTCACCTTGGAGCTATGGGCCATTTGACTGGTTACGGGCCCCACTGGCATTTAGAGGCCCTTGAAGATTTGGGAGATGGGGAGAAGCTGTAGACAAAGACTGGACTGGCTTCTTAGATGAGTGATATTACCTCTCTGAGCCTCGCTGCTAGTCAGCCTGTCTAAAGGGAGACCAGAATTGCCATTGCATAGGATTGCTGGGGAGGCTGAGTGAAATGATGGGTATAAAAGCACTTTATAAACCAGAAAGTGCTGTACAGTCATGGGGCATTGCTGATGGTGACTGGAATCCCCGATTGGGCTAGAAGGGGGCTCTCCTGCGGGGATGTGTCATCAGAGGTACTAGTGGCTTTCTCTTACATTGTTGGGCCTCATCTGAGCCAAGGGGAAAACAGTAGGAACTTAAATCAAAATAAGGACTCCGAAATTTTTTGTTGTTGTTTTAAAGATTTTACTTATTTGAGAGCGAGAGCAAGAATGCATGAGCAGGGGGAAGGGCAGAGGGAGAAACAGACACCCTGCTGAGTCGGGAGCCCAACGTGGGGCTCAATCCTAGGGCCCCAGGATCATGACCTGAACTGAAGGCAGACGCCTAACCAACTGATCCACCCAGGTGCCCAGGACTCCAAACTTTCCAGGAAAGTTCCCATTTGCCAAACCCGGGTTTTCATTTCAAAGATGCCTTTTTGAGGGGCTAAGAGCCCAATTGCAGGATTGAACCATTGCCTAAACCAAAAATACCCAGGGCAGACTTGGAATCAGAGTCTGAATGGTATGGCTCCTCGGCCTCCTGATTGAGAGCCTCTTGAACGAAAGTGGTGTGTTTCTGCGCCCTCTTGAGCAAGGGCAGGGAGAGAAGGGTCTGCACGGTGCTGGCTGGCAGCTGACCGTGGGCCTCCCTCCCTTAAGGGGCCACAAGGGGCAACTCTTCTCTCTCTTGTCCCACTGGCTTCTTTCTGACCTAAGCCACAAACTCCAAGGGTGTGGGATTTACAAAGCTGGGCTATTTACGGGCTCTGTGTGTGTGTCTCTCCTGTTCCTCTCTCCCTTTCTTCCTTTCTCTGTCTCTCCTTCCCTTCCTCCCTCTTCCCTTCCCTCTGGCCTCGGGCCTCCCCTGCAGTCCCGGAGGACCCAGGACACCTCTCCACAGGACTTGGCACCTGAGCCTGGGACGGCCACAGGCTGGGAAGTGTTCACTCAGAAAAGCCTCGCAGCGTCTCCTGAGGTTACTGTCAGCACTTCCCCACCCACACACAGCGACCCTAATGGTCTCAAAGAGATCCCCTTCTCTGGGGTGAAGGGGGGGTGGACCAGGCTCTGCCATGCAGGTCGAGCAATGGGTAGCCCTTGTATCCCCATGCTGTGACAAATGACTGTCCCCATGCCAGGGATCCATAAAGGGCCGGCCCCTCCCTCATCCATTGTTTCTCAGGAATCAGAACTGAGATCATATTCTAGAAAGACAGGACATTATGAGTCTGGCTCTGGCTTCAAAGGGGAGGCTGGAATGATCTTCTCTTGGGCCCTCCTGACTTTAGAGGCAGGTTCTAACATCTAAGCTTGAGATCAGGGGTCATCGCACCTAAATGCCTTTTCCCCTGGGGTCTTTTCTCTGTTTAGATGCCTGGGTGAGGTCTAACAGTGGCTCTGTAGGGAACGGTCCTTCATTCATCCTTCACCTTTGTCTTCTCCAAACTCCTCTTGACAGGCAGGCAAAACTGGGCATCTTGCTCTAAGGAGCTTCCTTGGGGTTGAAGAGATGCTGGTCAGGCCAGCGTTCTAACGAGGAAGGCATTACTTCTGCACCCTGGACAGCAGCCAGAAGAGGGCTCTTGGGCCTTGCTGTGTCCTGCTAGGCCTAGAATCTAGGCCCAGGGATGGAGGGCTGCATCTCCCTCTGTGCCGACAGCTCAGGGGCTGTCATGATTAGACAGTGCTGACAGACCATCTGGGTGGAACTTCTTTCTCCCTGAGATCTGAACCTCCGTGTTATGCATAGTATGTATGAGGGCATCTCCCTTTTTTAATTCCCATGGAAAAATTTTCTAGCTGCTGAAAATGTGCCAAAACCATAAAAGAGACATGAGTCAGTGACATAAGTGGTAAGACAGAAATCACAGGTCTACTCAATTTTTCCTCAATGTAAAAATCAACCATCAGCCCTCTCTCTTGAGATGAGTTGGACAGGAGTCAGTAGCCTCCCAGGGTTAGGGAAATAGTGAGACCCCAGAGCACAGAGATGCTCCTAGAGCAAAGGACAGTTGCGCAGACTCATTGTGGTGGGGAGGGGCAGCGTTAGGAGGCAACAAGCGCCCTTCTTCCGCATCCCTGCAAATTGTCCTTCCAGCGCCTCCCACAGAGGGCGCTCTTGTGGTTCTTCACAAGGAACCAATTTGGCTTCAGTCCCTACTGGGAAGTTTTCATATTGAATTAAAATCTGCCCTTCTGAAGTACCTGTCCGTGGGCCTCGCTGTGCCCGCTGCTGCCCAGAGATCCGCCGGGCATCCTCCCGCCTGGCATCCTCCTCCAGAATTCAGCACCTCCCCTCCCCCTGAACATTGCTTTCTTCAAAAGATGCTTTTCCCAGGGTGTGGTTTCTAGAGGGCTCCTTGTCCTGCCTCCCCTCTTCGGGGTGTCTTCTGTAAAGAACAGGGCCCAGAATGTGACCCAGAGCCCCAGGTGGTGACTGAATAGTCCAGAATCCGCAGAATCGGCTGGCTGGAGACTTTCTGCTTTTGGAGGCTCGCGTGTGGACAGAACTGGTCTGCGTCCTCCTCCAGCTTTCTCTCCTTGCTGCAGTACCTCCTGCTGATGGCAGGGGGCGCTCTGCGCAGGTTGTGAAGGTCCTCGGGCTCAGGGGACTGAAGCAGGGCTAGCAGATATCATCCCATCTCCCATCCTGGAAAGGGGGTCAGGACGGCTTTCAGACCAGCCAGCCCCAGGGGCAGGTGCAGCCCCCCCGCCAGGGCCTTGGTGCCAGTGGAGGTTTTCTCTCTTTTGTTCAGTCTTCTTTTCTCTTCAGGATTTTCACTTGTTAAAAGCAGAGCATCTTCTTCCCTTACCGCACACTCTGTGATCTGTGCAATGGTGATTGCTCTGCGAACCTCAGTTTCCCCTTTGGAAATAAGGACAATAGTACCTGCTTCACAGGTTGCCATTTGGATTACATTTAATCACCTTAGACAAAGGGCTGGCATTGTCTGGCACAAATTAACTAAATAGAAGTACATGTTTCCTTTTTTCTTCCTGTGGAGTCTTTCTTTCTATACTGGACTAGTTCCCACCCCACTCAGCCTACCTTCTAAGCTACTAGTTTTTAGTTAGACTTGGGGCAAGCATATTCCAGAAGGGGTCTCCTTGACCATCTTTGGCCATCATTGCCAGACTCCTGACATCAGGACAAGTGGAGACGGGAGCCTCTGAGGGCCCCTGCTTCGCCAGTAGAAGAGAAAAGAGACGTGGCTTCTACAGGCTCTCGAGGCACTTCTCTCTGGGAGGGCTCAATGGTGTTGTCCTGAGGCTTAGCAGCCTGAAGTAAAATACCAGAAAACCTATGCCTGGGCTTTCCTCTTTCCTCTTATCTCTCTTGCCTGTTGGCAGGATTCTTTCAGTGAGGTTTGATTCCCTGAAAACCATAGAGATTTTGCTAACATGGATTGAGGGAGTGGAGGTAAGAGAGTTTATAGTGCTCCCTGAACCTTCCCAATCCTTCACATCTTATGGGATCTGACAGACGCCTCTCCAAGTCATAATCGGTGTCAGAGCGCAGGTATTCACATCTCTCCCCTCCGGTGGAGGTGTCCCTCTGGCACATCTCACCAGGGATGCACTTCCCAGAACTTGGACTCAGACTGGATTCTAGACCTGCCTTTGCCCCCAGCTCACTCTCTGGCCTTGGACACGGTGCTTGCCTTTCCTAGGCCTCAGTTTCCATATCTGTGCCACAAGGGGCCAGAGTCAGAGCAAGGATTTCAAAGGAGGGTGGTACCTTGGCACGGGGGCAGCCGAGGCCTCCAGCTTCCAACATGGCAGCCTGTCTCTGGCTTACGTATTGGACTTCCATTGAAGTTTTATGTGAAGACAGTATTCTGTGGCTGCAAGATTAGAATACCAATGGCTTTCTGGCTTTTTTTTAAATTTTTTTAAGCACTTCTGAAGTCTGTTGTTCCCCCTGCAGTGCTGTTTAAAGGGCTCTGGGAGAGACAAAGGGCTGCTTTGTCGACAGGCTGACAGCGCTACGTTCTTGTTGGTGCTTTTGACCAGTGATGACACTTGGGTCTTCAGAACTTTTCCTTCCGTGATGTCTTCTGCTCAGCCCTTTCCTACTTTTCCCATGGATTTTGTCACAATTCTCCAAGAATAGGCCTTGGTATTCCTCTCTTTGGGAATGAAGCCCACAGAACTTAAGCTGTTCAAGCCACTGTGGTGACTGGCATTGACCTCTTCAGCTGAACATTTGACATTTTTCATTCTAATATCTTTCCTTCCCAGAAACTCTTGAAGAGAAGTCAGGTTTCAGGCTGTGGCTCGTGGAACTTAATTCAGGGCTTCCCCTCTTGACATGAGACTGCGTTTGGGATCCATATTCTTAGATCGTGAGATAAGTCAGCAAGGATCCCAGGCACTCTTTTCCTGACTCTGCCATGAACTAACTCGACTTTGGGGAAGTCAGTGACCTTCTCCAAGCCCCAGTTGCCCCATTTGCACAATGAGGAACTTGGACTAGAGGATGTCTTAGGAGTTGTTTTTGCTCTAATGTTCAAAGATTCCAAGTGTTGTAAGATACTTTCACCTCGGATAGTGGCAGTTTTATTATTAAGAGAGGAAGAGGAAGAGGAAGAGTCCGGGCCCATCCATGGATTCCCATTGTCCCATGATTAACATGGGGAGGGCGTGAGACCCCCGTCCCATCTTACCAAGTTGGGGTAGTGGTTGAGGGGAGTCTGTAAATAATTTGCTGGGTGCCTTGATGGGAAGGGGAGCCTTGATGAGGCTGACTGGCATTGTCATGCCTTTCTCTCCCCCAGCCAGTTCTGGGGACATGTTGACCTTTTGGTCCTTCTTGCAGAGGAAAAAAGGGACCTGTTCTTCAGGTGCCTGACATTTCATGTTAACTCTTCTTGCTCCAATTGAAACACAGGGTTCAGAGCATTGGGTATTTATAGAAAGAGAGTACACTAGGCCAGAAGAACTCAGTCTCCTAAAAGTGACCACCACGCAGCAGGAAGAAAGTAAGGCAGGCCTCGCAGATATCCTTGCTGATGGCAGACTCTCCAAAGTAGACATCCTGGTGGACAAGTTCAAAGTCGAAGTGGCCACAGAAGAAATGGTGGGAGTTAGAAGAGCAAAGACCCAGCAACAAGGAAGAATGATTGCAAGCCCTGAAGACTTTGAGTCAGTGTGGGAGGAAGGCCCCTGGGTCAGGAAAGGCCCAGGAGGGGCTTCTCTGGCCGCAGGCTCTGCCCTGGCAGAAAACCTCTTGGAGGGCTCCCAGTTGAGGGTGGGCACTGGGGAGGCCACCATCAAGAAGCGCTGGATCTCAGGTGGTCAGCTGGAGGGCCAGACAGAGCTGAGGAAGGAGCTGGAGGAGTTCCAGACTTGGGGAAGACCCACTGCCTCAGGGACCAGGTCAGCAGAGGCCGATGTCCCTTCTCCTGCCTCCGACAACGGAGGACTCCAGTCATTTCTGCTGGACCCCACCCAGTCGGAAGCCAGAGCTGACTCGAGTGATGAAAACGAACCTTCCTTTGCAGAGAGGAGCTTCTATCTGAACTATGAAGAGAAAGATTCTGAAGACCAAGTCCTCCCTCCGCCTCTGGAGGAGAGGGAAGAGTGCCTGGTCCCCCTTCCCGTTGATGAGACCAGGCTGGAGCTCTCAGAGAGCTCTGCGCTGAATTCCTCAAGCCCACAGGGCTCTGCTGCATCTTCCAGCAGGAACAAGGACCAAGAGGGTGAAGCTCACAAGCCTTCCTTAGAGGAAAGGGCAGGGTCCCCTGGGAACCGCAGAAGACCAGGTGGCCTGGAGGCCTTTGCTGAGCAGCTCGGTAAGGGACCTTCTCCAGGGCAGACATGTGCTGAGGACTGGGAAGAAGCTGGGCGGGGGGTGGAAGGAGAATTCAGCTACTCAGCATCCAACCTAGGCATGGAGGAAGAGGCCCCCAACGGTGGAGATTTGGTGGAAAAGGCTGAGAACAGTCCCCCAGCAGGATGGAAGGACCACACACCTCACAGCGCAGGGGCTCTGCGCCCAGACCTCCCAGCCTGTGCCCTTCCTCGGACCACCCCTCCTAATGATGTCAGGAAGCCAGCCAAGCCAGGCAGAGGCAACTTCCCGCCCCAAGACCGGGGCCGGGTCCACATCCAAACAGGAGAACCTGCGACGGAGGACAGAAAGGCCTCAGCGTTTCTTCAGATGGAAGTGCTTGCTCCCCTCCCAGCCTCTCCTGGTCCCTTTCAAGTTCAGGCAGCTCTGGAGGAAACTTCTCCAAGCCCAGCCCCTCATGGGTCAAGGGAGCCTCTGCAGCTTGGAGATCCTTTTGGAGAACAGTCCCCTGTGTTTCTCAAACATGCCCATCCTCTTAAAGAGAGCCCAGAACCCAAGGACCGAGGAGGACCGTTCATGACCTCAGACGGAGGTGAGCGCCGGGCACCTCCCGTTGCCAGCAGAAAGCCCAGAGTTGTCTCTGAACGAGCCGAGGGGACTATTCCCCTGGGGTTGGTGTTCCCTTCAGGGAAGCCAAAGGAGATAACCTCTTTCCAGGCTGCGGGCCAGGAGGGCTCCCTGGAAGATATCAGCAAGACCTCAGTGGCCAACAAAATTCGGATCTTTGAGACCCATGGAGCTGAAACTCGCAGAGCAAGTCAGAGTGAAACAAGGGCCCTCATAAACGAGTTGTCTTCAGAGGCCTCCGTGGGTCAGGTAGAGCAACAGCGGAACAAGCTTCTGGACCTGGGCTTCATCCAGCTTCAGCCCCCAGGGGACTTCGCTGGCCCCAAGGCCACCCATTCCTCAGTGACGCCGCTGGCTGCCAGCCACTTCAGGGAGGGCATTGCTACCACATCGGCCCAGGAAGGATGCACGGACCTCGAGCTCGTGTCCCCCGATTCGGGCTGCGAAACTGCGCTGGAGGAAACCACGGTGGGCACTGGCCACGTGAGCCCCCGCCCCCGCCGCTGCCCCTCCCCTGTGGGGGAGCGGACCGCATGCTCCGTAGCTCTGTAGAAGCATGTTTCAGGGGCCCCTCGTCATCACTGCGATCAGAGGCTGCTTGTCCATTCCTATGAGTTCTCTTCCTGACACGGGCCTGAGGGTAGCCCGGGCGGAATGACGGGTTCATCTGCTTGGCCACTGTTAGCTTAGCCACAAAGGCCCTCGGCTTTTGGTGTGACCTGGTGCCCAGAGGGTCACACCCCCCCCACTGGAGAAGGTGGCATCACCGCCAGCCGACTACATACTTGCTTTGCCTTGCTGCCCCCACCTGCTGGGCTCCTACCTGTTTTGCTTGGCTTGTCCAACGATCTTCCTTCATCTTTTCCCTTCCCTGGTTCTCCCACCTTGGGGAAGCTGACAGGCCAGAGGTTTCCATCCTTCACTGCTGGCTCCCTCTTGGTCCCACTGCCAAGTTCCTTTCTGCCTGCTTAAGACTAACTATCTTCTCTAATCCAGAACAAATCCGGAGATGCGGTCAGGGAAGAGAAGCCCATCACCAGCTTAGCAGCCAACCCCCCTGGAAAAGGGGGGCACCTGAGATTCGCCAGCCCCTCGGGCCCTCAGGTCTCTGCAGCCCCCCAGGTGCCCTGATGAACCTGGTCCTCTCCGCCTGGCCAGGGTGCATCGCTGCCTTCGACTCCCACCTGCTCTGGCAATGCCGTCTGTGGCAGCTCAACTCTCGCTTGTCTGGAATGTGTCCTCACACCTCTCAACCTTCCAGAAACTGGCTAAAATGGAAGCTAAGTCTAGCAAGTGAATCTCTAAGTGCACTGAATCTCTAGAACCTGAAGCCAACTACTTAAAAAAAAAATGTATATATACATGTATATGTATTTGGTGGGTGTTAGATTGGGCTTTAAAAAGACTGTTCTGGAACAGCCAAAAATGTGCATGTGGTGTTTAATCCCTGACAGGCCAGTTGAGAGGTATGTATGCGGGACAAGAGTTGCTGGTTCCCCTCCAGCGTTTCCTTGGCCTGCAGTTGTCAATTACACTGATGGGACTAGAACCTCCACCCTGCCCGCCGGCCCACCCGGAGCTCAGGGCTGAACTGCTGTAGCACCCAGCTCCCAGGACTTAACCCATATTGTTCCTCTCCATAGCCAATACGCCCCCTCCCTCAGAGACTCAGTGGAATTGACAAACCATGTTGGCTTCCTCTTTGTTTCTCAAAGCTCTTGGCTCCAGCCTCCCTGCCTTCCCATCCCAGGTTTCCCTAAATCCCTGGGTCTCCCTCCTTGGTTTCTGTTTCTCGGTGCCCACCTGCACGGATGGGCCTGTGCCCAGGCTCCCATCCCTGCCTCGCACACGATGCCGCTTCTGAAAAGCTCCCAGATCCAGACCTTGGATGGGGCTTCCTGTCCAGAACCAACTGGCAGGAGGTTTGCTTTCTACTTGCTTTGGCCATCAGCGGGAGACCCTCGGAAAGGAGCATTCCCCACTCTTGAGAACTTTGTGGGTTTTTCAAGCTTGTTGTCATGTCAAGAAACCTTCCTGGGAGTGTTTTTCATTTCCTGACCTGCTCTTCTATTTGAGACATTGAAAGGCCCCACGATTTCTTCTGTCATTCACCATCTTGCTTTCTCTCTCTCTCCTCCCACCCCACACCTCTGTTCCTTTGCTTTTTATCTGGCCATAGAGAGCAGGGCTAAGGGAGGGCTCAGAGGAGAAGGTCAAACCACCTCGTCCCAGGGCCCCAGAGAGTGACACGGGAGACGAGGACCAGGACCAGGAGAGGGACGCAGTGTTCCTGAAGGACAACCACTTGGCTATTGAGCGCAAGTGCTCCAGCATCACAGTCAGCTCCACGTCGAGCCTGGAGGCTGAGGTTGACTTCACGGTCATTGGTGACTACCATGGCAGCGCCTTCGAAGACTTCTCCCGCAGCCTGCCTGAGCTTGACCGTGACAAAAGCGACTCGGAGACCGAGGGCCTGGTGTTCTCCAGGGATCTCAACAAGGGGGGCCTCGGCCAGGAAGACGAGTCTGGTGGCATCGAGGATAGCCCGGATCGAGGGGCCTGCGCCACCCCAGATATGCCCCAGTTTGAGGTACAGTGGAGCATCCTGGATACCTGGGCCCGGCGGGCACTGCATGTTCAGAGGGCCCCGGGGCCATCTGCGAGAAGACCGAGCCGCCAGCCTGAAGCTCTGTTTCGTGTTGCATGACTGCCCCTCGCAGAAAGCATGGTTCTGTGCTCGCATGTTTGCCATCTTGGTTCACCCCTAACATGCACTCCTTGGCATTTTAACCCTGTGACCCCATCGCTTGCCCGCTTGCCCGAGGTCAGGTGATGGTAGGCGGTCTGGTCTTACCCGCCTCCTCTCCCTGTCTGTGTTGCATGGCACCTGCAGAAGGCACGTGCTTATGGACTCGCCTGCAGCCTGGCCTGAAAGTCAATGGTTCTTCCTGATTCTGACCCGGCTCCTCTCCCCGGGGCTTGGGCTTGCTGGGGGAAGGGGCAGCGGTCTAAACCCATCTGGCCCCGGGGTCTCAGGGGAGCAGCAGAAGCTCCAAGAGAAGAGGAAACGTCATCACTGAGGGGGACACCGAGATCGACAGTGTCTGGGCCCCTCTGCTTTGTGTCCTTCCTTCAGAGGATCTTTGTCCCATGATCCCTTTGCCCTCTCATCTCTTGCAGCCCCAACCTACCTCCCGCCACACCCTCCTCTCTCCGTTCCAGGCTTTGAAATCCGAACTCTTCAACTCTGGGCGTTCACTCCACGCTGCGCCCTCTGGGAGAAATTTTCCTTCCCCTTCTCTGCCTTGCAAACTTGTCATGCTTCAGGACCAAGTTCAGCTCTCACATCTAGCAGATGCTTCCCTGACCACCCAGGGCAGAAGTGTGGCTCCGTCCACGGCCCCCTTGCTCTGCAATGTTTCTGCTCCCGGCATCCTCCTAGGTAGTCAGGCCGGCGGCTGCCAGGCCCACTCTCCCCCCGGTGGCAGCTCCTCTAAGCCTGCACGTGCCAGGCACTAAGAGACAATTAACGGGATGAATGCCTTGATCTCACGGTTACAGTCATCTATAGGATCCCTCTCACCACCCTCCCAACCAGATGGCAGGCTTTTTCATTCATTCATTCAGCTCTCATACGCTCACGGTCCCATGAACTGACCTTGCTGGGGGAGTCTGAAGAAACTGATCATTTAACCAGAGACTTCCGGAGGAGAGGTTGAAAACCTCTGGCCCCAGGCCAGATCTGGCTAGCACAGATGTTTTCTTTGACCCTCATTGAAAAATTAGGACGTGGAATATAAAATCCATAGGTGTTTTTTTGTTTATTGGTTTGTTTTTAATCATTAAAAGAATCAGATGATCTGAGTCATTCAGAAGCCGTGGCTGCCATTGGCCAAACCTGAGTGGTGAGAACATGTGTCCTCCTGTTCACCCCAATCCTCCATAAGCCCAATTCACCCCTTTACATCTCTTGCCTGGCCCCCCCTAGGCCCCCAGGTATGTGACTCCCGCTTTCAAGAGCAGTTCAAAGGAAGCAGCTGGGACGGGGCAACATAATTGTTGAGGTCTGTCAGGATTCAGTGGCAAGTATCTAAGGACAGTTCTTAGTGGGGGGCCTGGCACAGAGCCCGTTAATTGATTAGTAGATGTTCTTTTACTGGTAGCCTAAAAACCAGCTTCTAGCCACCAGGAGCGGATGTGCGCCAAGGTCATGAGTGGCCCGTCTGGGTGCTGCTGGTGGCCCCCGGCTCTCCCCTGGGGCTGGCTGTCTGGGATGGCTCGCTGTGCCTCTTCGCTCTGACCTGTGTGCCCTTCCGGAGACCTGGGCCCTTCCTGAGACCTGGCCTGCTGCAGCGGTGGGAGAGACGCCACAGCGGCCTGTGAGCAGGGAGTCGGGCAGAGGCTTGGCTTATGGAACTTTCTCCCTCTTCTCCCTACAGCCTGTGAAAGCGGAAACCATGACTGTCAGCAGCCTGGCCATCAGAAAGAAGATTGAGCCCGAGGCTGTGCTGCAGACCAGAGTCAGCGCTATGGACGCTAGCCAGGTAACCGGGGCCTTCCACTGCACCTTGAGCGCAGGACATTTAGGGGTGGGGTCCTCACCCAGGCCAAGCCCCCGGGCCGACTCTTGCCACCCCAGCTTCCCCAGCGCCTCCATGTTCACCTTGATGCTCTTCTGAGCTTTGCTGTCCTCCGTGAGCTCTGGGTTTGGCCGGTGGAATGAACTCCTGTCCTGGGCAGACCACACACACCTCTTACAGCCTTGACTTCCCATCTCTGAAATGGGAATGATAATGTCTCCCTGTCCTCCTAGGAGTGCTGTAAGGGCTAGCAGCAAGTGGACTAGACTGTGGCTCTCAGATTGCTTGAAGGAGTTAGAGAAGTTTGTTGAGGTATCCCAGGGGCTGCTCGGGGGGAGAGAGGGAGCAATCCCAATCCAGCTGTTGTCAGAATGACTCACACTGGATTATTATTATTTTTTTTTACACATGGGGTTTCCATGTCAGATTGGCAAAATGAACAAACTGAGAAAAAGATTTTAAAAAATCATTTGCCTTAGCAAGATGAAACATACTTGGTACCCTGGACAGAGTGGTCCAAAAGAGACACAGGTGTCGAAGTTTCTCTTGCAGTGTTTTGATTTTAAACTTTGCACCTTGAGACTATAGGTGTGATAGATGCCCCCTGAGTTCCTCCTGGCCAGAGGAGCTGCAGTGCTGGGGGCAGAGACTTGTCTGCATCTCAAGAAATAAGTAAGGTGTAAACCAACACAATGTGTACAATTGTGTCATTTCCAGAATGTTCTTCTCCCCCGTTTGTAACATGCACAGTGGTCTCTGTGGCAGCTGGTGCAGCAGCCAAGACGCTCGAGTTCTGACGAACTATGTGATCTCAAGCCGCATGCCTCCTCTGTGGCCTCTTTTGTTTTAGTGACCAGTGTTTTATTTTGTTTTCCTGTAGAAAAATACAGAGAAAACTTAAAAAGGCCCCAAAGTCAACAGCCCAGTAATCCATAGTGACATCAAAACAAAATGACAAAGTGTTCACAGTTATGAAATTCAAACAGAACAAACTGAAATTTTTCTTACGATTCTTCCCAGTAAAAAAGATGTATATGTATTCCAATGTATACACTGATGTCTCTAGAGTGTAGAATTTTACACAAAAGAGATCCTCTTTTACACCTGACCTTTTTTCTTAATGACTTTCTTGGAGATCACTCCTCATTGCCCTCTGTGGGCCCACCTTAGACTCAGTCCCACTTAGGAGTGGGTCCTGACTTACCCTGCAGTCTCCCATCAATGGGCCTGCGGCTGTTTTGTCCTTGGCAGTTAAGGATGAATGTTTCAGTGAACTTCTTCGTTCACACTTCTTGGCAAAATTTTCAGAGTTGATATCCAAAGGATGAACTCCCGGCTGTGGAATCACTACGTCAAGGAACACAGGAATTGAGGTTTGCTTAGGGATTGCAAAATTATCTGGGATTATTTGTCCTTTGCCAAATAAGATGATTCAAACAAACTGGGGGCATGTGAGGACCCCCCCGTAATTCAGGCTGTGTGCGGACAAGCCCGTCTCCCCGCCAGCGCTTGTTTGCTCACACAGCCTGTCCCTCTGTAGCTGGCAATGCCACCTGCCCAGGTAACAGATGCTCCAGGCAGAGGCGGTGTACCCTCTCTTTCTCTCATGACTCCTCTGGCCAGCAGGTTGATGGGACTGTCCCAGGGGGAAAGGAGTCCATAACAACCACTCCCTCCATCACCACAGAGACCATATCGACCACCATGGTAAGTAGGACCCAAGGGTCTTCCCTCTCTGACCAGCCTCCTTGTCCTCGGGCAGCCAGATAACAGCATCATGTCACTGGCTGTCTGGGGTGGTCCTCCTCTGCCCTCCCCGCATGAGGCATAGGACACAGAGTCGACCTCTTCTTGTGAGGCACCATCGTTACCACAGGACACCCAGTCAGATCTCAGTTTTCCAAACTGAATGACGTGGGAGGTGGGATCCCTGAGTCTCAGTTATCTGGACCGTCTCAGCCACAGCAGGGGTAGAGGGAGGGAGGGCGGTACCATTCGATTATGTGATCATGGGCAAGGCGTGAGGATTGAGCTTGAAAGTCCCTGACAGACCCTGGCAGCTGTGCAGTTTCTCATGTCTCGGGCCACTTCCTTGCCTTGGTCAGTAGATGGCGTGCAGGGAGCTTAAAACTGGAAAATCAAGATTTGGGGACCATCTCCTCAGGCTCTGGTTCTGATACCGATGTGCTGCCTGACCTATGAAGGAGGGTCTTTGGCCTCAGATGTCTTCATCTGTAAAATGGGAGTAATCCCCATTCTGCCTGTTTCATAGGCTCTTTTTTTTTTTTTTTAAAGATTTTATTTATTTATTTGAGAGAGAGAGAGATCACACTAGCACAAGCAGGGGGCTGGGCAGCAGAGGGCAAGGGAGCAGGGAACCCAACATGGGGCTCCATCCCAGGACTCTAGGATCATGACCTGAGCCAAAGGCAGAGGCTTAACCAACTGAACCACCCAGGCGCCCCTGGTTCACAGGTTCTTAAGAGAGTCCAGTAATGTCACATCCTTTAATGATGACATAGACCAGATAGCTTTAGGCACAGGCTGTGTCGCCAGGCAAGCCGCCAAAAAGTGTGTGTGGGTGATCTCACTGAGTCCTTACAAAAACTGGAAGGGATTCTCTTTTTTCTGCACCCTTTACAGATGAAGAATCCGAAATGCAGGGAGGTAAAGTGACTTCCTAAGGTCACACACCCAGTACGTAGTAGAGGCAGGTCCAACCCAGAAGCCTCACTGTGCCCCTCAACCGCTCTGCACCCTCATCCCGACCACTGTGAACACTGGCCGCCGGGGCCGGGGCCGGGGCCGGGGCTGGGGCCGGATCTGTCTTGAGTCGGTGTAAAGTTGTTTTCAAATGCTTTCTCTTGTCAAACCCCCGATAGACACCTAGGAAGGGAATGGCGTTTAGACTTACCTAACAGGTAGGTTTTGCACAAACAAAGACAAGTAACTCTGAACTGGTTATCAGCTCGCACCCTCTTTCCTGGTCACTCTGTCCCACTTCTCCCTCAGTCCTTCTCCACGTGGCATCAGGACACTTCTAGGGCTAAATTTAAGTTCATACTACCGTGAGTAGGCAGTTACATCGCTCATTTACCCACGTGCCCACCCACCCACCCATCCATCCATTCATTTCTTCCAAAAACATTTCTTAGTCTCTGTTACCTGCCTGATTCGGAACACAGAGTTGAAGGAAATCTACTGCCTACGAGAAGACATTTGTTCAAGTAGTGATCACGGGCACGTGTCATTGTTTAGGTCCTGGGCACACAGTGGTGGACAAGGCCCAGCTCTCCCACGTCCTGGCGGGATGACCCCTGGGCAAGTTACCTGAACCTCTCTAAGCCTCAGTTTCCACTCCTGTAAAATGGGGTAACGGGGAGCAGTAATAGCACATCCCTCAAAGGGTTGACCCAAGGAGGGACCAAGGTAATCTGTGCAAAGGCGTGCCTGGCATGTAGGAAGTGGTCTGTAAATGTGAGCCACTGTACTTTTGCCCTGCCTTCATGGAACAGGGTGACAATGCTTTCTGGGGGGCACAGGGAGGAAGGGTATGGGGTGACACCCATGCCAGGAGGACTGAGAAGGCTTCACCTCGGCAGGGACAGCTGAGCCATCCTTTGAGGATAAATGACAGCATGCCCACAGCAGAAGGCGTTCTAGGCAGTGGGGACAGCAGGTGCAAAGGCAGGGATAGGAATGAACGGCGCATTTGGGGAAAGGCAGGTGGTCAGTGAAGCAAGATGTCAGGTGTGTGGAAGAGGAGCGGGGTGGGGGAGAAGAGGCTGGAAACGCAGTCTGGGCCAGGGCCTGAAGGGCCCAAATGTCACATAGGAAGTTCATGCTTTATCTACTGTGACAGTGGGGGGCAGTAGGGCATCCCTTCGACTTCTGAAACGGGCTTGTTGTTATCAAATGTGTGTTTCTGTGTTTTAGAAAGATTACCCTGGCAACTGTGTGGGACGTCACGAGAGAAAATGTCCCTCCTGTCCTCCCTCCCTCCTTCCTTCCTTCCCTCAGCAAATACTTGTTGAATGCTGTGTGATGCGCTGTGAGCCCAGCACTGAGGGAGACAGAAAGTGCCCTGAGCACGCACGCCGTTGGGAGAGATGGAAAGAGAAGGCAGGGAACTGGTTTAGGGGCTGCGGCAGAGCGGGTGTGCAAGGAGGTAGATGCTGAGAAGGTGGGCAGGGTTGAGGGATAACCAGGGGGAGGATTTGGTCATTGACAGAATGTTCAGGTGACAGAGGACCCAATGGGGTCCTCTGTCTTAGGGCTGGTGACCTAACCCTGACCTAGCCATTTTTGAAGCACAGTCCTGGGAACCTTTAGAAAAGCAAATCTCTGCCCCCCCCCCCAAACCTATCAAATCAGAAACTCTGGAGCAGGGCCCAAAAATCTGTGACACCCCTCAAGTCGGAGAAGCTCTGATACAGAGTCCTGGAGGGGGTTGCTCGTTAGTGGGGAGGCAGTGAATTCCATGTTGGATCTCTCATGAGCCTAAGGTGCCTATGGGACATTTCCAGGGGGAAATACTGAGGAAACAATTGGTTTTAAAGGTCTGGGTTTCGAGAAAGATCTGGGCTCTAGATAGAGGGATAAGGACAGGGGCCTTGTGAGAAAGCCGTGACTGGCTGAGGCGGCCCCGAGAGAGGGTAGCCAGGAGGAGAGCCCTCAGCTGGAGGGAGGAAGGGTCCAGAGCAGAGATGGTGGCATTGCCGTGGCCAGGGAGAGAAGCCACACCTCCTGGAGACAGGAGAGAGGACTGGCTGGAGATAAAGGAGAGGTGGACAGTGCAGATGGTGCCTTGTTTCAAACGACCTGTGTCCCCTTTAGTGGCTTCCCTTTTCAGTGTGGAGGTGGAGGTGAGGCTTTGTCCGGGACAGAGGGAGCCATGGGAGATGAAGAGGCTTAAGGGGAGAATTGCCTGGAGCAACAGTAGGACTCAGGGGGCTAGTGACTCTCTGAGGCTGGCAGCAAGGAAGCACGGAGCCCAGAAGGCTGCCGCCACCCTTTCTCTGAATCAAAGCACAGTTGACACACAGCGTGACATTGGTTTCAGGTGTATGACATCGCGATTGGACAGCTCTGTGTATGCTGTGCTCACCGCATGTGTAGCTGCCATCTGTCCCCACACAACCCTGTTACAGTACCACTGACTGTGTTCCCTGTGCCGTACCCTTCATGCCCAGGACCTGTTCATCCCAGAACCGGAAGTCTGCACCTCTCGCTCCCCTTCACCCCTAGCTGCCCATCCCTCCCCCCCCGCCCCTCTGGCAACTCCTAGTTTTCTGTATTTACGATCTGTTTATGCTTTTCTCATTGGTCTGTTTGGTTTTTGCGATTCCACATAGAAGTGAAATCATACGACATTTGTCTTTGTCTGACTTATCTCACTTAGCATCATACCCTCAAGGTCCATCCGTGCTGTTGCAAATTGTCAGATCTCATTCTTGTTTATGGCTGAATAAGAACATTGTATATCACATCCTCTTTATCCATTTTCTCCCGGTGGACACTTGGGCTGCTCCCGTATCTTGGCTATTGTAAATAATGCTGCAAAAAACATAGGGGTGCATATGTCTTTTCAATTAATGTTTTTGTTTTCTTTGGGTAAGTACCCAATACTGGAGTTCCTAGATCCTATGGTATTTCTAGTTTTAATTTTTTTTCCAAGGAACCTCCATACTGTGTTCCAGAGTGGCCACAGCAGTTTGCACTCCCGTCTGCAGGGCACGAGGGCTCCCTTCTCTCCACATCCTCACCAGCACCTGTTTTTGTCTGTTTGAGACGTGCCATTCTGACAGGTGTAACGGGATAGCTCATTGCAGTCTTGATTTGCATTTACCTGATGATGAGTGATGCAGAGCATCCTTCTGTGTCTGTGGGCAAGCCTGCCTGCTTTTTGGCCTACCGCCAGGCCACATTCTGGGACTCCATGTGAGAAAGTTGCTTACTGGTGGAATGCCAAGTAAATGCCAAGGTCACTGCCTTGGTCGGAGGCAGGCTCCGGGTCAGGTGGGGAGTGGTAGGCAGGGCGAAGGCAGAGAGAGGGCTGCCATCCTTACCTGTCCCCTGGCAGGCAGAGGTTGTACAGACCAGGACCAGGGCTCAGCTAGAACAGACATAGCTCTGAGCCCCTGGACAGACTGGGGTGAGCGCAAGATGGTGCAGAAGGTGGGAAGTAGAGGCTGGCGACCAGGCCCACTGACAAACATGGGGCACGAGTCTCTAGTGGTTAGAATCCACCATAGGACTAGGAGAGCTGCTGCAGGGTGAGCGTTCTGAGGGCAGAGAAGTGTTGCATGTGGGGTTGGAGTCTGACAAACGTGGGGGGGACGTGAATAAGCCACTTGATGTTCTCTGGCCTTCTAGCTTCTCAACTCTGAAGCAGGAATATTAAAACAATATCCTGTGGTTGTTCTGAGGATTAAATGAGATAGCGCATCCTTAGCATAATACCGAGCGCATGGCAAGGACTCAGAAGTAGGTATTATTACATTGTTGGTAGCTAGCCTGTGTTCTTGTGTTTATCCTAAGGTTGGGATTTGCCAAGCCCTTTCTCCTCTGTTAACATCATAATGTCTCTGAGGGAGTTGAGCAGGGTGTCTTTTTACAAAAAATGTTTAAGGCTTAGTATTTTTAGGGCAGTTTATTTTTTTAGAGCAGTTTCACAGCAGAACTGAGAAGAAGGGACCCCGTATGCTCCATAAATGGGGATATATACAGAGATATATATAGAGAGAGATTTCCCACGTGCTCCTTACCCCTGCACATGCGCAGCCTCCCCCATAATCCTTACCATCAGCAAACCGACATTGCAGGGGTCCCGTTTTATAGGTAAATCCATGAGGCCCATGGAACAGAGGTGGCTATGCCCAGCTCATGGGGCTAGATCATGGCAGGGCCAGGACGAGAACCTGAACGTCTCCCCTCGTTTGGTAGTGCTTCCTGAGAGCAACGCCATGTCTCATTTGCCCTTGTCCCTGACCCCAGGCACCGTACATGTTGAATGAGTGAGTGCGTGAGCCAGTGAGAGAGTAAGTATGAGAGCAGGTGTGTGTGTGCGCATGTTGAGTGCATGACAGTGTCACTCCTCAACCTCGTGGCTGTGAGAGCAACACAGCTGTGTGCTCTGGCCATCCTGGGGGTCCACTCACGCGAGATCCGGCCATCTGAGCACTATTGTTTCCCCAGGAGAACAGTCTCAAGTCCGGGAAGGGGGCAGCTGCCATGATCCCAGGCCCACAGACGGTGGCCACGGATATCCGTTCTCTTTCTCCGGTAAGTGGGTAGGGCCAGCTCAGGCTAGGGGACTCTGTGCTGAGAATGCAGTCTGTAGGTGGCCCGAGTGAGCGCAGCGTAGAGCCCAGTGGGCTGCCCTTTGAAGCACAATGCCAGGAACGTGGATCGCTCTTAGATGCCTGTAGGGCTCCCTTGTGCCCACCAGAGTCTCATCCATCGCCTCCACCCCCAACATACACACACCAGAGGGCTTCGCAGGTTAGGGTGATGCAGCCCCCCTCCTTGGTGATGCCTGTGATTGGACAGCTCATTTGCATCTGCTGTCCTTACTGCCCAGGAGGAAAGATGGACTAGGAGTCCAGAGGCTTGCACTCTGGACATGGCTCTTTCAGTGGCTCCCGTGAGCGTGAGGCTGTCACTGTGAAGTCTCTTGAGTCTCCTGCATTCTCCAAGCCTGTCCTTCTCCTTGTCTAGCCCCGGAGGCCACGTGTTCCCAGCTGTGACAGGGTGGGGTTTGGGAGGGCTCTGTTTCTACTCTGGATCCCCCATTCATCTGAGCTGCCAGTATTCTAAACCCCCCACCAAAGATTGATTGATTTATTTATTTATTTATTTATTTATTTATTTGACAGAGAGAGATAGCAAGAGAGGGAACACAAGCAGGGGGAGTGGGAGAGGGAGAAGCAGGCTTCCAGCTGGAGCAGGGAGCCCAATGCGGGGTCCGATCCCGACCCTGGGATCATGACCTGAGCTGAAGGCAGACGCTTAACGACTGAGCCACCCAGGTGCCCCAGCTACCAGGATTCTTAAAATCTGGGGTCTTGTTAGAATTCTGGGCCTCGGGAATCTCAGGTTCTAGGAGTCTGAGAGTCAGTGGTTTGAGAATGTCATGGATCAAGCATTCTGAAGATTCCAGTGTTCCTGAATTCTTAGAATCAGTGATTTGAAGCATCTTGGACTTCCAAACTTCACCCTTCTGGGGCCCCCTTGGTTTACTCTCCCCACCCCCACCCTGCAGAGCCCAGTGTCCTTACCTGACCCCGGGGGTGGGGGTGGTTATATTCCGCAGATCATCGGGAAAGATGTCCTCACCAGCACCTACGGCGCCACCGCGGAAACCCTCTCCACCTCCACCACCACCCATGTTACCAAAGTGAGTAGCAGCAGGGCACCGTCGGCCCCCACCCTGGCTGTTGGGCTGGGCAAGGTCATGGCCATCGCTGTGCCTTGTATCATGGACAGAGAAGACCGGCAGTGGTCTAGCTTCTGGAGTGCTATGCGCTTTGTTCTGTACTATGGGTCATCCCAGGCACGGGCCCCGCCCCTCATCATCGGCAGCCAGGCTGGCAGGGGGGGTGGCGGCAAGACCCCCTTCCCGGAAGCAATTCGGAGCCATGGCTTTTGCGCCTTATAGACCTTACGTGCTGGCAGGATTTAGAAGGGGTGATGTAAGGAAGCCTCAGAGAGTGAGGAGGGCTCTTCTGGAGAAAGTGGGATTTGTGCAGGGTCTTAGGAAGCCGGGTAGGACTCGTGAGGGATGAGAGGACAGACGCAGATGTTCCAAGCAACGCAGGAGATGGGAGCAGAGACTGCATTTGTTTATTTGTTGACATTTGTTAGTGAACGTCAAGCTGCTGCCCGCCTCTGTGCGAGGGGCACAGGTGGCGACTGGAAGTGCTGCATGTTTGTGGGGACGGCAGCAGGGGGTCTCTGTTAGGGAGAAGTAGCGTCGAGGGGGTGGAGCTGCAGGAAATTGGGGTGGACTGGAGGCAGGGGAAGCCACATAGAGACAAACGTGACAAAGCCCAGAACAGATGAGACTAGGAAGGGTTTAAGAGCCATTGGAACACTGTCAAGTTTTTTTAACTGGGGAGTGACCCAGCACAAAGAGGTTTAAGAAGAGGAGATTAGGTCCATCAGTGTGCACAGGTAGATGGGGGAGCAAAGAGAGAGGGGCGTGGAGTGACTAGGGATGGGGGCCCTGGACTGGTGGGGGAAGGAAGAGGCAGGGCTACGGGAGGGGATCACTCCCTATGCATCAGCTGTGATGCAGCCAATGAGCGCAGAAGGCTGAAGGCAAGTGGTTCCGTGCCCCGGTGGCCAGGAGGGAGGCAGGAGGGGGCGCAGGCCAGAGAAGAACGCCTGGAGGAGAGGGGCTGGAAAGGCAGGTTGAGGGGGAGGTTCTGCCGAGCCATCTGAGGGAGAAGTCCGCTAGGTACCACCGGCCCTTCTGCACACACCAACTGTCCCAGCCCTGCCCCAAAGGTGTGCAGGCCTCAGCACCTTTGCACGTGCCCAGGAAGCTCCCCCCACAACATCCCCCGCCCACCCACCAAAAGCATTTGTGAGCAATGTTGACTTCACTGAAAGTTTTATGGGAGGGTTTTCCATCACACACCCCGCTGCATACAGCTCAGAAAACTGTTCTGCCCCAAGTTGCTCCCCTCCCTCCTCCCTGCAAACCAGGAGTCCCCTTCTTTCTGCCTGTTCCTGGCTCCTGCTGGGATTTCCCTCAGCTACCACCCTCCTTGATATGCCAAGCAGTTAGTTCCTTCCCCATCTTCTACTTCTAAACTTGTGCCCAGACCCTGCCCTTTTGGAAAACAGTGGACGTTATAAGCATCACCAACGTGGTTTTCTCTTGTAGTGTTGTTTGAAGTCATTTAAGATAGAACCGTGTCACCATTCACATTTCATTCATGTGTTCATTCAACTCTGCATTTAGCACCTGCCCTGGTCAGATTGGACAGGGGGGAGGGACGGAGGGGATACGGAAATGAGCAAAATGCAGCCCCTGCCCTCAAGAGCTCCAGCCTAGCGAGCAGGCCAGGTCACTCACACAAGGTCAGCATGAGGCAGAGAGCCCCAGAAGTGGTGCAAGAGAGACAGACTTGGTGGTCAGGGAGTACCAAGGCAAGAGGAGGGCAGGGTCACCAACCTGAATTAGGGAAACATGACTTGAGCTGGGCTCGGAAGACCTAGAGGGGGCAGTTTGGTAGTTGGGGGAGTGGTAGCTGTGGGCAAGACGTGCCATCTAAAGTCCCCCAAACCAGAAGAGGGAGCCAGGAGAGAAGGTGACTGCTGGTTCCAGCCTCGTCCTTGAGGGGTGCTTTGGATGGGTGCCCTGTCACACTCTGGCAGGACCCAGAGCTGACCTTACTGCCCTTTTACTCTGCAGACTGTGAAAGGGGGATTTTCTGAGACGAGGATCGAGAAGCGGATCATCATCACTGGGGATGAAGATGTTGATCAAGACCAGGTATGGGGATAGGGAATGCTGATCCTGGGGGCAGTCCCCAGTCCCTCCCATCCTGGGTCACCCATGGACAGCTGCCCTTGTGGGCAGAGGATCAAGTGCATTTCATGCTGATCCTTATTCAGACAAGAAGCCCCAAATGAGCCCCAAAAGAAGGGGCATAGAATGGGAGCCCGAAGAAGCCAGAGACCCCAAAGCTCTGGGCTCTCCCTTTAACTCTTTGACCACTGCCTCTCCTGGGCCTCAGTTTCCACAGCTGTACAGGAAGGAGTTTGTCGGTCTCCATGGTCCCTCCTGTATTCGATATCCATTCCTCACTTTGTTGCTCCTGTCTACCAGGCCCTGGCTTTGGCCATCAAGGAGGCCAAGCTGCAGCATCCTGACATGTTGGTAACCAAAGCTGTCGTATATAGAGAAACAGACCCGTCCCCAGAGGAGAGGGACAGGAAGCCACAGGTAAGACCTCTGAGGCTCAGCAGCCAGTGGAGGGAGGTGGTGAGATCTTCCGAGGGTTGTTTCTATCAGGTGGCTTGGTCCCAAGCACAGCTTTAAGTCCCCACGTTCCTGGTTTGTGGCTCAAAGGAGAGAAGTAGCTTCCTCAATATAACAAATCAGAGTGGGGAATGGGGGTGGGGAAGACTGGTTCCTTGGCTTCTTGGGGGTTTCAGGCCCAAGTATATCTGGACATGATAAGGCCAGGGAGTGAGGGTGGATAGCCCGTCCTGAGGCGGGACAGCTGGAGACAAGCATAGCCTTGCTGGCCATTACCTAAAAACCTGAAGCCAGAAAAAGGCCCTGCAGGCCAAGGGCCACCTTCCTGTCCCTGAATCTCTGCCTCCATCACAGGTCACTGGATGTTGCTAAGGGGAAAATATGATGACCAGAGTCCTTGATCCCATCTGTGTTGCTAGATCGCAAACCCTTGACTTCTCAAGCTACCTTGGGCCAGAAACTTACTTTTCTGTTTCCTTACGGACGGACCATGCCTTGCTGAACAAGAGGAAGGAGATGGTGCTATAGCAGATGGGGCTTTCATTAGCCTAAATTGGGGGAGGGGTTCTTCTGGTCCCTCTGGAAATTGACTGAATTTTATCAGGCATATAAAATGAAATCTCACAGACATTGAGTTGAGTGGGAGAATTCTATTTAAGTTCAAAAGTAGGCCAAACTAATCAGTGATGATAAAAGTCAGAATACTGCTTAGTTCCGGGATGTGATATTGACAGGAAGAGTCACAGGGAAACCTTTGGGGGTGCTGCAGATGTCAGCATCTTGAACGGGGTAGGTCACATGGGTGTAGACATATATAAAAATGTGTCGGGCTATATACTTGGATTTGTGCTACAGTGAAAAAAGAACTCGTCTCAAAGACCCCTACAAGCAGCAGATCTCCTTTGGCCCTCTTCCCTGATGAATAAGACTGTGTTTTCTAGAAGATACAAGAATGTGGATCACCACTCCCTTCTTGTCAGAAGAAAATGCACTGAAACATTTTCCTTCCACCTTGAAGGCTGCCAAGCCCTGGTCTAGACTGTGCTGTCCAACAGAACTTTCTGCAGTGATGGACAGGTTTTCTTCATACTGTGGAAGACACATGGCTGTCGAGCAATTGCAGTTGGCTAATCTGAAATCAGACATGCTTTAAGGGTAAAATGCATGCAGGGTTTTGAAGACTTAATATGAGAAAAGGCCTGCAATATGTCTCAATAGTGTTTCTATTCATTACATCCTCAAATGATCAGGTTTGGATGTATTGGGTTAGGTAAAATAATTATTGAAGTTTATTTCCCCTGTTTCTTTTACTCTTTTTATGGTAATTTGAAATTTAGAATTTTAATTTGGAAATGAAAAGTTTCTATCTAGAAGGGTTAAGGAAATTGGAAATATCTAGAAAATTTAGCGAGTTCTATCTAAAGGAATTTCAATTCCATATATGGCTCTCATTTCTATTTCTGCTGGACAGCACTGCTTCTACAGAAGTAGAAGCTGGTCATGGGCAGAGCCTCCTCCCAGCCTTCCTCGGACTTCCGTGCAAATTGTCCCTCCTGTCCCCTCCATCGTCCAGTTTTTCCTGCCCGTTGTCCCCCAGATCTCCGAGTGGTAGTGCACTGGCGGCATCAGCGGGGGGATATGGGTACTGTAGAACTAATATCATAAAGTCTGATTTAGAAGGGCTGGACCAGACCTGGGAATCTGTATTTATACGTTGGTCCTTAGGAAGTCCACGGGCAGCCGCTGGTGCAAAGAATTCCGTGCTGCGAATCTGGGGACCGGGCTCTAGTCCCAGCCATTCCCTCCTGGGCAAGCAGTTTCCTCACTTGCAAAAAAAAAAAAAAGAGAGAGAGAGAAGGGGCAAGCCCTTTCCAGGCATGGCCTTCTGGCTGCCAATTTGCTTTCGTAGGGTACTTGTCACGTGTTTCTCCTATTTTTTCCTTTCCCTGTCTTTTTGCTCCCCATCTTTCTTGGGGCATTTCCAGCCAATCCCCCAGGCTCCTGCCTCCCCATTTTCCCTGGCAGCTCAGGGCTCTCATCGCTGCTGCCATATCCTAGCCATCCCTGCCCCCCGCCACAAACACCATGCAGCCTTTTACATCTGCCCGCTTGGGGGCTCTTATTTGCCCCTTTGTTAGTTCTTCCTTTGATGGCATTGTCCACATACCACCGCTCTCTGTCTCTCCTCTCTCTCCACCCTCCTCCTTCCCTCTCTCCTTCTCCCTCTCTCTCCATCTTTTTCCTCACTCTCCCTTCCTCTGGTCTCTCTGTCTGTCCTTCTCTCTCTCCCTCTGTCTCTCCTCTCCTTCTCCCTCTCAGATCCTTCTGTAAAGTTCACCTTGTTCTTGTCACCCTGGAAAGACAGAAGTTTCTCCCTTGCCTTTTCTCTCCATATGCTTTACACTACTTAGGAAACACCTTTGACCCCTAATATCAGCAGACTCTCTCATTCTGAGGAGGGGTCTTCTCTGAATTTGAAGACTCTTTTTTAAAGTGCTTGAAACATGTCAGTTTGATGGATGGATATATCTTAGTAGCCCACGGAAAGATCTGGAATCCTACAAACCTGATTCAGTCTCAGCCCTGCCTGCCATTAGCCATGTGACTTCGATCAGATTGTTTAATTTCTGCACTTTTTTCATCGGCTAATGGTCAGCAACCATAATCACCATGACAACAATTGCTGAAATGTGTGGAGTGTCTATACTCTTCCAGGCATGAGGACATGCACTTGACCAAAGTATTATCATCTGCTCATTCTCATAAATGAAGAAACCGAGACCCTGAGATGTTAGGTGACTTGCTTGGAGCCATGGGGCTTGATGAGGGAGTCAAAGCTCATCTGTGAGACTCCAGAGCCACCCTGTGGTCTTAACCTCCTTATCCCACAGGGTTGGTGAGATCCTACATGCACAGCAGTTAACAGTGGCGCCTGGCACATAGTAAGTGCTCAGTAAAAGCTAAGGGTGATTCTGATTATTATTGACTCAAATTAAGCTGTCAAAACACTGCACATTCAGACTCTGATATAATAAACTAAGAAAAATAAATTATAGTATGGCATCATTTAGATGTCCTTGGCATTTCTGAAGTGTCTAAAGTCTTTTGAAGACATCCCATGTCATGTTTACACTGAGCTATAAAACTTCAAGTGCAGCCTGCCACTGGGGGAAAAAAAATTCCTCAGGAAGTTAGCAGAATTGAGTACGAAGAACACACCCTTTGGAGCCCAAAACTCCCTGCTAGCAGTGTGCCCAGAGGAACCTCCCTGGGCCTCACTTTCCTCATCTACAAAATGAAGTTCACCTAGGAATTGGAGCTGCGATAATAATTAGCATCTGTGAGTGTCTTAGTTTGGGCTGCTTTGACAGCACACCATAGACTGGGTGGCTTAAACAACACATGTTCATTTCTCCCAAGTATGGGGGCCTGGGAAGTCCAAGATCAAGGTGCAGGTGGCTGTCTTCTCTATATGTCCTCATGTGGCAGAGCAGAGAGAGAGAGAATCTCTCTTGTGTATCTTTTTATAAGGGCATTAATCCTATATATGAGGGTTCCATCCTTATAACCTAAGTACCTCCCAAAGATGCGCCCCCAAATCCCTCACATTGAGAATTAAGGCTTCAACATAGGAATTTTGGTCAGGGGGTAGGGGACACAAATATTCAGTCCTCAGCAGTGACACACAAGGACAGCGCCTCACATACAGAAGATCCTTAGCGCTGTGAACCCGCATCCTTATCCCCCGAGGTTTCACCATGTTCAGGGATGGACGAGAGCCCTGGGTAAGTCAGACTGTAAGCTTCCGCCGCCAGCCTGGTGCACGAGCCCTGGCTCCTTGCAGGTGTCCATCTTGCTGGCCTTTAGCTTCTCTTCCCTCCCTGAATCTTCCAGAAACATCTGTTCAGAGTGCACTTGACTCTTGGCCTTCCTCCCAGAAGTTCCTCCTCTTTGAAGTTCTTGCTCTGAGTGTGGGAAGCACACCCATCTGACACAGCGTCTTTTTACTCCCTGCAACTCTCGGGCCAGATGTGTGGTTTCTCTTCCATCTTCTCCCACTGGCCCACATCCCTCAGACAGGACCTGTCTCCACAACACTGCAACACCCAGCTTCCTTACCTCCAAGATCTGGATGACATGGGAGGAAAAAACTGACCTGTTTCAAAGCAGGAATCTTGGGTTCTAGTCTCATTTCTGTCACCAACTCACTGGGACCTTGAACCCTCTGGGTCTCCATTTTCCCATCTGTCAACTAAACTGAAAAGGATTTTGTGTCTATGACTCCCTTCACACTGGACCCTATGTGAGTGGGAAAGGGCAGAAAGGATTACCCACCCCCCCCCCACCGTTAAGTGGTTCTGGGGAGCTGCTATGCACAATGCACAGTGATGAGCATTGGAAAGACAAAGAAAGGGGCGCCTGGGTGGCTCAGTGGGTTAAAGCCTCTGCCTTCAGCTCAGGTCCTGGTCCCAGGGTCCTGGTCCCAGGGTCCTGGGATCGAGGCCCGCATCTGGCTCTCTTTTCAGCAGGGAGTCTGCTTCCTCCTCTCTCTCTGTCTGCCTCTCTGCCTACTTGTGATCTCCATCTGTCGAATAAATAAATACAATCTTTAAAAAAATTATTTAAAAAAAAGAAATGAAGAAAGACAAAGATAAGTAAAAGGCAGCCATTGCCCTCAAGGAGAGCCAAACAGTGTATGGCTAAGTTAACAATAGCAGTAGTGATAATAGGAATGGTCAGGTACTTATTTAGTGGTTCCTGTTTGCTAACCTTTGTTTCGAATCCTCCCCGTAAATGCGTGAGGAAGCACCCATTTTACAGAGGAGCACAGGAGGCCTAAAGAAGTTAAGAAACTCACCCAAGATGGCAGAGCTCGTAGCCCATGGAATGGGATTTGAACTCAAGCCGTCTGATTGGAGACCCCATGCACTTGACCACAAAATTTTGGAGTCAATCTTGAGTTGGAATCCAAGCTCCAGTTTCTTTATGGAAACGCTGCTCCCTGGGGTTTAATTCCAGGTCACACAGGCCCATGGAGATCAGAGAGGAAAAACAAATAACTTCTGCAATCACAACTAAACAATTCTTAGACCAGGAGGAGGTAGGAAGAAAAGGTGAGCCGCATGTGATCTGAGCCTCTTAGTGTTTAAGGAAACTTGGACAGATTTCCAGACAGATGTGGGTTCAGGTCTTGGCTGTGTGGCCTTGGACAAGTCACTTGATCTTACTGAGCCATAATAAAGGGTATACAGGAAAGGGAGCTAAAACCACCTCTTGCCGTGTATTTAAAGATGAATGAGAAAAAGTTACTAATTTTTATTGTCCTCTTCCTTCGTGTCCCCTTCCCTCCATGCCTCCGGCTCTAGGAATCCTGACCTCTGTGAAGAGATGCTGGCGCTTCTGGTCCAACCCAAGCCAGAGAACCGTTAAGAAGGGGCCTTCATTCTGGATTCTCCGACTCAACACCGCAGTCCCAGCTGTGACGTACTGTCACCGAAGAGGGACTGGGAAAGGAAAAGCATATATATATAGATATATATAGATATAGATATATATACAGGAAACACCGCGTGCTTGCACTGCTGCTGGGGCTGGCCGCACCTTCGGCCAACAGTAACAACCAACATCTGAACACCTACATTTCCTTTGCAGACAAATTGAAGAACTGGTGGGATTTTTTCAGGAAAAAAAAAAGTATATATATATATATATATATATATATATATATATATAAAATGACAATAATCTCTCACTCCCCCTTTTGAAGCCCTGCGGAATGACAAAAGCAAGCCAGACCACGATGATCGTAGGAGTCCAAAACGACCCTGGTTCTGCACGTTACCTTGCGTGGACAAACAAGCATTCCATTTGTCCTGAAGCGTGTGCTGCCCACTACAATGCAAAGGAAACACTCTTGCAGCAAAGCAAGAGAACTCTCAGCAGCGAGACACGTGCCGTCAACCGTTTGCCAAGAAAGAAAGAAAATCCCCCCACTCGGAAAGGAGGAACACTGGATTATTATTTTTGGGGTCTTGACACTGGGCTGCAAAATCCACCTTCCTTTCTTCCGCCTCCCCTCCCCATCGACTCACATGTCTTGTTGTCATTTCTGTCTTGGCTCCCTCCTCCCCCTCCCCCACCCTCTGTATCCCGGTCCTGCCGATGACTCTGGTTTGAAACAAGAAAAAGAAGAGAAAGCAAGCGCAGAAAACCCAGCCACAGGAAGGAAAGTAGACATTGTGTGTTCATGGGTTGTCATGATGAAGGTGCAGCTTATAGGAGATGTGTATGGGTGTGCTTTTAAGTTATGTATATGACATATAACAGGAAACAAATAATTAAAATAAACAGTGCTGGTAAGTATGAAGCTGACATTTTAAAATTATAATTATCCGACTGTGATTGATGTATTCCAAGGTTCTTAGATCGCACTGAACCGGCCCAGCCAAGGAGACCTGGACTCTGGCTGCGGGCTGTCCGCCGGAGGAGCTGACGGTTCAGTGTAGTAATACAGTGTGTGGTATTTGTAATTGATTGATTGGTGGGGAGGGGTGGGGTCCCCAGATGGAGGGGCAGGGATTTGGCAAGGAGGAAGAAACCCAGATGTAGTTCAAGATGCCTTCCCCGCTTCGGGCAGTAGCCACCAGGGCCTGATCTGTGCTCAGCTGTGGGGTCCAGGGTCAGGATTGCACGACAGGGGTCCCCGGCTCAGCCCCCATAGCCCCCTAGGGGGTTTGCTTCGTTTTTCAGTCTTCTCTTTTTTCAGCCAAATGTCTTTTCCCTGACCACATTGCGACAGCTGACTCCCCGTGCAAAGAGATGGGACACCCTTGGCCACTGCAGAGAATGGTAGCTTTACCTGGCTGTCCGGAGAGCCTGGCTCGCTCTGGTCCTCTCCCCTCCCACATTCATTCTCTTCCTCATGGGCCAAAGCACCCATGGCAGAGACCCTGAACAAGGGCAGGCCCCGATAGGACAAAACTTCATTTCCAAAGGCTTTGCCTACCACCCCCCACCCCCACTCCATCCCTGCCCTGAATAAGCCGCTGAAGAAATGTGTTGCTCAAAGGCTCCTTCTATGTGAGAGACTGGCTTTGGAAACCTCCCCTTCAGCCAGCAATCTGAGCTCTGAGCTTGTACCCTCAGAGTCCCCAGAACTGCCTTCAGACCACTGAAGCCCTTGGAGAATACCCCAACCAAGGCTCGGGCTTTCCCAGGCTTGCCTGCCAGGACCTGCTCCCCGGAGCTCAGTGAGTCCCCTTTGGAAGGAGTATGTCCCTACTGCACTTTAATTTCTCAGTCCCATCTTACCTGCCCTGCCCCAGCTCTACAGCGGCCACTGAAGTCATTCAACAAATACTTATTGAGTACCTGCTCGCGCCAGGCACTAGGCTTGGACTGCAGGAGAGAATGTGGGAGAGGGGAGGGACCTGGAAGCCCTCCGAGCCAGCCTTACATCTTCAATCACGGCTTGCCCCTCTGAGAGCATTTCCACATTCTCTCCAATTATTGGCCATTGCCCGGGGATACCCCCCAGCTTACTTATTAGTTACCCCAGTGACATAAATGCTTAGTTTGCTAAGCTGGTGCTGACCTGAGAACAAGAAACCAGAACAGTGTTGGCTAAATGGGCCAGAGAGCAGGCAGAGAGAGCCCTGCCCCTGGGGCTCAGAGGGCAGATCCAGCCATCTCCCCCGCCAACCCCCTGGAGCAAGACCAGTGGCTCACTCCACCCGCGCCCCCTACCCCGAGTGTGACATCTCACTTCCCATGCATCAGGTTCTTTTTACTACCTTGGTGGAGAAGCCACAAAACCTCCTTCCCACCCGTCGCAACCTGCAAGCTCCTATTTTCTTTCTGAGCCAAGAGCTGGAATGGCTCCACCCCTCCCTGGGCCCCCCGGAATATGGCTCAGGCACCCCTGTCTTTGCAGGGACCAGGTGCCCCGAGCACACTGGTCACACCTCAGAGGGAGAGTATTCTGGATCCTGCACCTGTTTACGGCCCCTGAATGTGTGGCTTCAGAGTAGGGATGAAGGGACCAGGCTTAGCTTGTGAGCTGGCCAGGGTTTGTGGAGCTCTCCATCCCACGGATGCTGTGACCTTCCTTCCGTGGAGAGGCAGGTAGTGCCACCAGGGAGGAGGGGAGCTGCAAAGCTGAAATCTAGGGCACTGTTTCCTCCCATCCTCCTCTTCATAGAGAATATAGATGTTTGTCTTGTCAGTCTTCAACCTACTTTTCTTTTTTCCTTTTTGCATTTCTCATCCTTTTTGTGCTGCCTCTCCACCCAGGAGACCATGTAGCATGATGGAAAATGTCCTGGAGTGTATCCTGGCTCAGCCCCTAACTCACCATGTGACATTGGACTAGTCCCACCCCCCAACCCCCTTTGGGGCCTCAGTTTCCCCATTTGCAAAATGAGTAGGATAAACCAGATGCTCTCCAGGGTCTTTTCCCAGTCTGCTGTTCTACAGATCTTCATTTTTCTCTTGTTTTGCTTTCTTGGGATCTTTTCCATCAGAGGGGACAGGAAGTGCCAGGACCTGTTTCAGTTTGTGAATCCTGCAAGCACATTCCAAGACTGGCCTGCGATTGCATGAGCAACATCACTCTAAATAATTTTTTTTTTTCAAAAGCACCTTCCAACCAACTGCGATGCTGTCCTGTTCCTTTTTACTCACACCCCTCCCTCCCCTCTTGTCCCCACGCTCCCCCACCTCAGTGCTCTGTGCTGTATGCGTGTGCTCTCTGTTCTTGTATACTCAATAAAAGTGAAATAAATGTGTTTGATGCTGAACCACAAACTGCCTTGGCATCTCTCTCTCTCTCTCTCTCCCAGCCCTTAGCTACCAGTACGGGTTGGCCTTGTGGGGAGGGCTCAGACAGGTGTGGAGGAAATCCCAACCTTGAACACTTTCATGCAACACTTATTTGCAGCTTCCAATATGGTCTCTGACTTGGGTTAGGCTCTGCAGGCACAACCGCAAATAAGACAAATTTCCTGCCCTCTGGGAACGCTCAGACTTGTGGAGTGCTGGAAACATAATACAACAGGCAAGCAGTTCTGGAGTGATCGGCACCAGGAAGGAAATGCACAGAGGCAGGAGTTGGCTGCTGAGGGAGACCACTTAAATAAGGTGGCCAGTTATGGCCTCCCTAAGGAGGAGCTAAATGAAGAGAAAGATCCAGTAAGGTGAGGGGCTTGGGCAAGATATTCTAGGCAGGGGCGCCTGGGTGGCTCGGTTGGCTCAGGTCATGATTCTAGGGTCCTGGGATCAAACCCCGCATTGGGTTCCCTCTCCCACTGCTTGTGCTCTCTCTCTCTCTCTCTGTGTCAAATGGATGAATAAAATCTTAAAAAAAAAAAAAAAAAAGAGTGGGGCGCCTGGGTGGCTCAGTGGGTTAAGCCTCTGCCTTCAGCTCAGGTCATGATCTCAAGATCCTGGGATCGAACCCTGCATCAGCTCTCTGCTCAGTGGGGAGCCTGTTCCCCCCACCCCTGCCTGTCTGCCTCTCTGCCTACTTGTGATCTCTCTCTCTCTCTCTGTCAAATAAATAAATAAAATCTTAAAAAAAAAAAAAAAAGACTATTCTAGGAAGAAGGAACAGTTAAGTCTGTGGGCCCCAGGATATAGAGGTGCTTGATGTGTGGAAGAACAGCATGATCCCTCCTCTTTCTGAAAGAAGAGCACTTACATTGGGGGTCTCTTCCTACAACCCTCTCCATGGGAACCTAGTGGTTAATGTATACAGTGACCCCCAGCTTCAACCTTTGCCCACCTCCACATACATTGCCATGTCCCTCTACATGCCACTTGTCCCATTATTGACTTATTTAAATGGACTCTGTAAATTATATATATGTGTGTGTGTGTATACATGTATATGTACATATATATGAAACAATATTACTTCCATAAATGAAAAACTAGTGTCACTTGCCAAAGAAAGGAGGTCTTCATAAAACTAAATGCAAAAATATAAAATTAAAAACCCATAATCCATGTAAAACTTACTCCTTGGGCTACCTGAGTTGCATGTACCACACTTTCCTTTTTATTCTAAGTGGCTCACCCCAGGCCAACTTCTCTATTGCCCCAAATCTCACAAGCAAGAACCACTATAAATAATTGGATGCATTTTCTTCCACTCTTTTTCCAGGTATGTATATCTCTTCAGAGCTTAAATTACCTGGGACATACCATTCCAAATACTATTTTAAACTTATTCTGAGCATTTCCTAGTAATTTTGAATACTAAATACTATTTTGTTTCTTTCCAAAGGTAATTCACTCAATGACACAAAATGCTGTGCAGTGAAAACAATTCTTCAATGCTCTCTGGAATCCCGTCCATTGTCAGAGGTAGTTGCTTTCAGGAGTTTTGGGAATCCTTCCCTAAATTTGTTTCTTGTACATTTCCTTTAGCTCTCTGCCACCCATAGGGTTCTGGAATAGGACACGGTTTGCAAATATTGGGTCCACACACACTCTGAATCTGTATCTTTATCTCCCAGAAATTCAGGGTCAGCCTCTGTGTTGCTTGGGAATAACCTGGGGTTGATTTATCTAGATCAGTGGTTCCCAAACGGAGGGGAAGGAGGTGATTTTGCCTTCCCCCAGGGAACGTTTAGCCATGTCTGAAGACATTTTTGGTTGTTACACCTGAGGGGTGCTATTGGCATTCAGTGGGTAGAGTCCAGGGATGCTGCTAAACATCCCATAATCATGGGACAGATCCCACAACAAATCTGATCTGATTTGTCAGTAGTATCAGAGTTGAAAACCTGATCTGGATGGACGTGTGACCCATAAGGTGGCATTCCAGGGTCACCATCTGTAGCTTTCAAGCCCTAATTCAGGGCTGGAGTCTCTGAGAAGATGGTGAGCCCAGCTGGAACAGGGAGCTCTGAGATCATAAACTTAGCTCAGCACCCACACTGGGAATAAGGAGGGTCAGGGAAGGAGCTGAGCTTCTTCAGACAGGAAATGGAACCGACATGACAGGCGGAATTTGACAGGCGTGACTGTGACTGATGGAGGCCATCTCTGGTTAATCCTGCAGCAGCTTATTGTGATTAACCATGACTGCAGAGCCCAGTATAGTCTGCAACCCACTAAGAGATGAGGTTTGACTGAGAAAGATTGGTGTGTCCAGCTGTCACTGAGGAAGTGTGACAGACAAGCTAAGAAGCAGCAGCACGGGGACAGGAACAGTCAGTCAGACTGTGGTTTGCATCCTAGCTCTGCCACTCTCCAGCTGTGTAACCTCTCTGAGCCTTGGTTTTCTCTTCTGTAAGCTGGGAATACTAATATCTACTTCTAGGGTTACGTTAAGGCTTAGAAGTCATATATGAATGGCCTGCCCTATGGATATTGGACTTACCTAGCCAGTCCCCACAATCATACAAGCCAATTCCTTGTAAAAAATCTCTTAATATAGGGGCGCCTGGGTGGCTCAGTGGGTTAAAGCCTCTGCCTTCCGCTCAGGTCATGATCTCAGGGTCCTTGGATGGAGTCCGCATCAGGCTCTCTGCTCCGCAGGGAGCCTGCTTCCCTCTCTCTCCACCTACTTGTGATCTCTCTCTCTGCCTGCCTCTCTGCCTGCTTGTGATCTCTGTCAAATAAATAAATAAAATCTTTAAAAAAAATCTCTTAATATATATCTCCTATTGATTCTGCTTCTTTGGTTGAACCCTGACTGATACAGCCACCCAGCACAGAGCAAAGCCCTCAAACAGAAATCATTTATTAATACAGTCATTAATTAAACACACACACCCAGCTGAACCCCTTGTGTCTGGCTTTGGGCTAGGTTCCTGGGAAACAACAGAGAACCAGACAAGAAATTCCCTCCCTCCAGGCATGTTTGTAGCCTGCACCACCTGAGGACACTGGTGATTATGGCCGGAGGGACCCATGTAGTGGCTATTGCTGCTGGGACGACTTCTCCGCCCTGCGGGCTGGGTTTCTGACAATCTCCTTTAGGACTGAGAGTGGTTGGACAGCGACTGGGTGATAATGGGCGAGTGGTGATACTCAGGTAGAAACTGGCTGACAGGGACCATTACTGAGCTTCTGATGTGGCTACTAGACAGCCATGATCATGAACCCTGCTTCAGCGACCATGACTGATTGTGACCAAAGGACTAGGGCTGGTGGGTGTGTTTCTGGAGCAGGATATACATAGCTTGGTGAAGGTTGTTATCCACGGTTCAGGAGACGTGTAACCCAAAGTAGCAAAAGGCAACATTTAACGGGGCGGAACCTGCAGGCGCGGACCGTTCCTCCCCAGACCAGGAGCTCTGCCGGACCGCTTTCCCCGTCGCTCCCGTCCCAAGCCAAACCGCGAGAACTTCCGGTGCTCCGCGGTGCCCGGGAGGGGCGAGAGTCCAAAGCTGGTGAGTCCGGCCTCCTGGCCTGTTTGAACTTTTCTGTTTTTGTTGTCCGTGTGGCCCAGCCACCCTGTTCCCGGTTCGGGATCGCGGAGTGCCCTGAAGTGGGGCGCCTCGGCGGGACGCGCGCGTCCCTCTCTGTGGGCCAGTGCTTGGACCCTGGTGCCTCTGCAGGCCTTTCTCCCTGAAAAACCGTCACCAGAGCCCCCGTCGCCAGTACTTCCTGGGGCACCCGGGGTAACTTAGCTGTTTCCCGAACTTGGGAACTTGGGGGCCGGAGACCCTGGCCGCGCCCGATATGGTTCTGTTCGACTCTAATTTCGGGTAAGGTAATTTGCCCGAACCGACCGTTTGTTTCTCATCTATCTACAACATGGATATCATGTTTTTATTAAATAAATGCCTATCGAGGGGCTGGTTTGTGCTGGAGGAACAAAAAGACTCAAGTCTCACGGAGGTAACAGCCGTCTGCTAAACACAAACGCAGAACTGCAGCCTGATCAATGAAATGGAAATGTCCGGGGTGCCGGGGAGTGTCTCACGGGATACCTGACCTAACCCCGGGTCAAGCAGGCTTTAGTGAGGAAGTGAATATTGAGCTGAGATCAGAAAAAATGATTTGAGGAAGAGGAGAGGGAAGAGTTGTTTTTTTTTTTATTTTAATCCAAGGAGCCTCCAGCCAGTGTGGCGGGAACAGAGAACTCTGCAGGGTGCACGGTATGAAACAGACCGAAGGAGTTGGGAGGGGCCAGGCAGCCCAGGCCTTGTAGGTCTTGTAGGTCATGGTAAAAATTCTGGTTTTCCAGGAGCCAGAAGAAGAGCCACTCACATGGAATTCAGTGTGAGCTGGTGACATGCTTAGGTTGGGCCTTTGAAAAGTTCACTCTGGCTGTTGGATGGAGAACGGGTAACTTGCAGCAAGGAGGTGATGGCGAGAAGCAGGTGGACAGATGTGACTTTGTGCATTCCAGGGCATAGTCTCTGTGCCAGGCCGTGTGCCAGCTGCTGAAGATACAGTGAAGAGAATTACCGCTGGTGTAATTTGAATAAAGGAATGTCATTGTCAAGGAGGAAGGAGTGCAGGTACCACAAGGGAAAATGGCTAATTGATGAACAATTGTTCTAAATGTAGTAGCTCCTCATTTAGCAAGTACTTATTAAGTACCTTCTGAATTCAGGGTTGGGAATAAGATGATGATGATGCAAATTATTTAGAGCAGCGGCTTTCAGGCTTTTTTGACTGTGACCTGCAATAACAAATACATTTTACCTCATGACCAAGAATCCATACAGACACATAAAACTTCAGAAGACAGTTATCTTTATTACTCATGATGCACTCTTTTTCTTTTTTTAAATTTTGTTGTTTCCATTTTAAAAAAATGTAATGCTGGTTGAGACTCTCTAAATTGATTTCTTAACCCATTAATGAGTTTTGACTTGCAGTTTGAAAAAAAAAAAAATGCCCATTTAGAGTAAGAGTCATTTACCGTGGTTTGGGGTTAAGATGATAAAACATTGCCTCTACCATTTTTGGAACCAGGTCGGCCTTCCTTTTCTCCCTGCTCTAGTTTGTTCTGTTTGCTTAACATAGAAAAGAGTAAGAAGAATTAAACAGGCAACTGGTTCTTCTGTTTGTGAAATTTGGGGGTCTTGTTTGTGCATCTGGCTGGGTTGGAAGTCCCTAGAGGCAGTAGTGACTGTCCTACCCTGTGGATGTTTCATAGATCATTGTTCCAGGCAAAGATCTGGCCCAGTGCGGGCGCTCAGTGATTATTTGTTAAATTGAATAGGTAAGCGTCTTGGGACTAGAAGGTTAGATAATTGTTTTTATTAAATTAGCTCATGTTGGAACCATTCCTATAAATACCACCCAGGCAGTGTCTGCCTGCCTACACGTTGTGTCAGTATGTCCCCGTGGACAGTTCAGAGGTGGGTAAAATAAGTGTTCTTGCTCTTTCTCTTCTAAATACTGATCCTAGGCCAGCCATCCCACCTGAATCTATTCTGGGCAAGGCGGCCAGAGTTGCCACTGACTGTGGGCCCTTTGGGAAGTTGCTTCACTCCCTGGACTTTAGGGGTTTTTTATGCGTAGAAGATGAAGAGGAGGTTTGTGGTTGAAAAGCTTTCCACTTCCAAACATTTTGTGAATGAACACCCACTTCAGATGCAGAGCACCCACTTTCCACCTTCTGTCCATGTCTGGGCCTTCCTTAAGGCTTATGGGAAACTGGGTATATGCTGGATTTAATCATCCTTCTTAGCTCCTTGGGACTCTTCAGTGATAGGGTTTAGGCAGAGTTACAGTGTGAGGCAGTTTAGGCACAGTCGTAGTTTCTAATAGACCACCCAGGCTTTCCCCACCTTCATCTTGTTGTGGGAGAGAGATCCTGAGAGTGGATCTTGAGTGGGCAGTGAGAAGAACACTGGCCTGGAGGACAGGGTACCTAGGTTCTAATTTGTGTGACCTTGTATGACCTGGAGCATGTCGTTTATCCTCAATGTCTTTCCAGCTATGCAGTGAGTGTTCTTTCTCAATAAACCAAAACACAAAATCCTCTTCACCCTGAGTCCTCTTTTCCTCTTCAGTAAAATTGATGCAGGGTTGTGGCGAGGATTAAGGGAGATAATTATGTCAGGGGTCTGATTCAATCTGGCACATGCAGAATCCTCAGCAAATGAAGCATCTTTCCTCAAGTTCCAGTTAATTCTGATTTCTTTCTTTTTCAGTTGTTTGGAAGACAAGAGAGGTTCTCTTTTTGGTCACTTAGCACTGGTGCCATGGCTGCCATGCAAATGGATCCTGAGCTTGCCAAGCGCCTGTTCTTTGAAGGGGCCACTGTGGTCATCTTGAATATGCCCAAGGGGACAGAGTTTGGCATTGACTACAACTCCTGGGAGGTGGGGCCCAAGTTCCGGGGCGTGAAGATGATCCCACCAGGCATCCACTTCCTCCACTATAGCTCTGTGGACAAGGCCAATCCCAGGGAGGTGGGGCCTCGTATGGGCTTCTTTCTGAGCCTGCAGCAGCGGGGGCTGATCGTCCTGCGCTGGAATGCGATCCGAGAAGAGGTAGACCTGTCTCCAGCCCCAGAGGCTGAGGTGGAGGCCATGAGGGCCAACCTCCAGGAGCTGGACCAGTTCCTAGGCCCTTACCCATACGACACACTCAAGAAGTGGATCTCACTCACCAACTTTATCAGCGAGGCCACAATGGAGAAGCTGCAGCCTGAGAGCCGGCAGATCTGTGCTTTCTCAGAGGTGCTTCCTGTGCTGTCCATGAAGCACACCAAGGACCGCGTGGAACAGAATCTACCTCGCTGTGGCACTGAGTGCAAAAGCTACCAGGAGGGCCTGGCCCGGCTGCCAGAGATGAAGCCCAGAGCTGGGACAGAGATCCGCTTCTCAGAGTTGCCCACACAGATGTTCCCAGCAGGTGCCACACCAGCAGAGATAACCAGGCACAGCATGGACCTGAGCTATGCCCTGGAGACGGTACTCAGCAAGCAGTTCCCCGGAAGCCCTCAGGATGTGCTTGGTGAGGAGGAACAGGATTCTTTGGGAGTGGGCCAGGAGATGGGTGTATAGTAGTGGGTACATCTCCGGTTATCTAGTCCAGCGGCTCCTAAACTCGGCAAGGAAGCAGTCTTGCCCAGTCCCCCTGGGACTAGGTTAAGAGAGCTGGAGTGGGGCCCCAACACTATCTGTCTGTCTATATAATAAACAAACACTGTAGGTGAACCTGATGCAGCCAGTTCTGTGTTTGGGAACCACTTATGTGGCCCAGCCCCTCATTTTACAGATTGAGGTTCACAGAAGGAAAGGATTTGGCCAACTATGTGGTCAAAGTGAGACCAGAGCCCAGGGCTCCTGGTTCCCCGTCTCCCATCTGCCTCCTCATTTTGCTCCTGATTCTCTCAGTGTTGGTCTCTCCACTGGCTTAGACCAGGATCGTGATTTTTTTTAAATTATTTTTGTTTTTATTGTTATTTTTCTCCCTTATTGCAAAAGTACTGTATGGTCATCATAGAAGCAAAACAAAAATGCATTCCCAACTCCCACTACCTAGAAATAACCAAATTTTGTACCCTTGGGTATATTTCCTTTTCGTCTGTTCCATGTGTATGTATCCCTGTGCAGCATTTCATTGCAGTCTCTTCTCTGTGTATTTCTGTGTACTTCCCTTTAGTCTCTTTTTTCCCTCAATTATATGTGTTTGTATAAATGATTTTTTTATAATTTTTTTTTAAGATTTTATTTATTTACTTGAGAGAGAGAGTGAGAGAGAGCATGGGAAGAGAGAGGGTGAGAAGGAGAAGCAGACTACCCACTGAGCAGGGAGCCCGATGCGGGACTTGATCCTGGAACTCCAGGATCATGACCTGAGCCAAAGGCAGTCACTTAACCAACTGAGCCACCCAGGTGCCCCTATAAATGATTTTTTACAAAAACAAGATTGCAGTATACTATTTTGTAATCTGCTTTAACATAAACATGTTTCTATGTTGCTGAAACAGCCCCTTCTCGATAGTGTCTACTTATGTGCCATAGTTAATGAACCAGCCCTCTGTTGGTGGGCCTTTTAAGTTGTCCCTATTTTCCCTATCGTGTCGTCTAATGAACATCCTGTGTGTACTTATACATACATTTAGGGTTGAAATTGTTGGATCAGAGCCTGTGTGTTGCGAACTGGGATGAAGCTGTTGCCCATCATCTCTGAAATGGCGATTTAGCAAAGGCCTCTTCCTACCGGATGGTTGGAGAATGATATCGTTTCAATGTATATTTCTTTGATTCTAGTGACAGCAGACATTCGTCACATCTTTAACAACTATTTATATTTTTTCTTTTACAAATTGTCCAGGTATTTGCATATTTTTCTGTTGGAAGACCAGTGAGAAATTTGAATATAGGGCCCTTTATATCATTGCCTCTCTGATAAAAGGGCACATTTTAATGGGTGCATCTTAATGCATTACACAGTATTATCATTTAATAAGTAACACTTGGGAAATTCTGGCTTAAAAAAGAACGAAAATCCTGTTTTCTACCTCTTAAACATTTTAGTTCTTCAAAGTAATCTTGTGAAAGGTCTGTTGCAGGGATAACTTTTCATCTTCCTGACAACTCTTTGAAATTACTTCTGATCTCCTAACTTAATTTCAGACTAGGCCAGAAATTCATGAATTTAAGTAAATGCCCTAATTTCAGAGAATAAGCTCCTATTTTCACAAACTAACCAGGTAAAGCCAACTGTAGAAGCAAATCATTAACCTCTATCATAGAAAGAAAATTTGACAATATCTTTTTTTTTTAAGAGTTTATTTATGGGGGCGCCTGGGTGGCTCAGTGGGTTAAGCCGCTGCCTTCAGCTCAGGTCATGATCTTGGAGTCCTGGGATCGAGCCCCGCATCGGGCTCTCTGCTCAGCGGGGAGCCTGCTTCCTCCTCTCTCTCTGCCTGCCTCTCTGCCTGCTTGTGATCTCTCTGTCAAATAAATAAATAAAATCTTTTAAAAAAAAAAAGTTTATTTATGTATTTGACAGAGATCACAAGTACGCAGAGAGGCAGGCTCCCTGCTAAGCAGAGAGCCTGATGTGGGGCTTGATCCCAGGACCCTGAGATCATGACCTGAGCCGAAGGCAGAGGCTTAATCCACTAAGCTACCCAGGCACCCCAAATTTGACAATATTTTGAAAATGTCAGTCAAACATCCAATATATCTGGACCAGGCGGCTAGATAAACTTAGTTCCACAAGCCTAGGAATAGAGAACTAGTTTTTCATGTCTCTGAAGGTGACAGAGATCAAACAACCTGCATTTAAAGAGGTACGTAGTGTTGAGTGCATCTGTTCTTTTCATGACCCACGTGTAAGTGTGACACCACAGAGCCCCTCCTTAAATTTGAAGCCAGAGAGGATGTCTCTAATCAACAGCAGGGTATCTTGGCAACCAGAGACCCAGTTGCTTGCCCAAGGACAGTGGCTTCTGGATCGTGGGGTCTCTGTTTCAGACAGGCATCTGGTGGAAACGTGGGAATAATAATTAATATTTCCTGAGCGCTCCTTTGTGCCAGGTATTATTTTAAGTGCTTTATATGAACTATATTGATTTATTTACTCTTCCCCACAGCCCTCAAATAAGGAAATTGAGGTATAAACAGATTGAGTAACTTGCCCAAGGTCACACATCTCTGAAGGGTGGGGTCCAGATGTGAATTTAGGTAGTTTGGTTCATGCTGTTAGTCACCAAGCTGTTCAATGGAGATTAAATCACAGAGCCCCGTGGTTAAACAAATGCAAGTGATCTGGGCTTGAGGGCTAAGCCTCAAAGAAGTACTCACAAATTTTCCTCTTCTGGGAAGCTCTGGAACTATTCTCACCCAGTAGAAATTCTGTTTTATCTTCCATTGTTCCCATTGCCAAGCATTCGATGTGTGACCTTGGGTAAGTCCCTTGACTTTATCTGTAAAATGAGACAGGTATCACCAACCTGAACACCTTGTGGAGTTGGGCTGGGGATTACATGGTGTAGTGCAGCATTTCCCTGGCCCTGGAGCAGACCGTCTGCATCAGAATCACCCAGGAAGCTTTTCAGAGCTACAGACACTGAGGCTCTGCCCATCTGTCCTCAGCCAGGATCTCTGTGGGGGAGGCTTGCGCAGCTTTATCTTCAACAAGCTCTCCTAATACCAATGGGCAGTCCGGTTTGGGATCTGCGTGGTATAATAGCCATGGACACGTTTTGTAAACTTTTGAAGTGCCAGGCAGTTACTGGTAGATCTCTTTTCTTGCAGTCTGATTCTATAAAACCATGGTTTGGTTTCTCGTGGCTTGAATTTAGAGCAGTTCAGCAAACTTGAACTGAGCGTGTGCTCAGTGCAAACCGCTCCCCCACCGCCCTTGCAGGAGAGCTGTGCAGGAGGCTACCACTGCTGGGGTCAGTAGATCGAGCACTCCACTCTCTCAGGATCATTTTCCTCTCTGTGCCTCCCAGGTGAACTTCAGTTTGCCTTTGTATGCTTCCTCCTGGGGAATGTGTATGAGGCATTTGAGCACTGGAAGCGGCTCCTGAATCTCCTGTGTCGCTCCGAAGAAGCCATGGTGAGGCACCACACCCTCTACATCAACCTCATCTCCATCCTCTACCACCAGCTCGGCGAGATCCCAGCCGACTTCTTTGTGGACATCGTCTCCCAGAACAACTTCCTCACCAGCACCTTACAGGTGAGCCATCTTCTGGCTGACACCCATGTGGGTCAGAACTAAGGTGAGAAAGTGTGAAAGCCCCTTTGGGAGGGTTACTTTTTTGTTGCTGTTTCCTGGCTCTCTCTTCTACTCAGTTGTAAGTTCCGTGATGCCAGAGACCCTCTCTCTCTACCACCGTCTCCCTGCCTTGCTTTGAGAATGCCACGCAGTGGGGTACTTGGCATTCGACTAACCTCTACCTCTGTGAGTTACTCAGCTCAAAACACTTTTTCTTTCTCCCTGTAGCCGTAAGTTGGTATAACCCAGTAGGACAGAGTTTTGAAGCTTGTTATTTCCAGGGAAACATCTGCAGCTCCTTAGATCTCATTTAAGCATTAAAGTAACTTTGATTTCCTGTTCAAACAAAACGTGCCAGTTTCTGCAGAGATTCTCTGACAGAAAAAGTGAAATTTGCTTTTAACTTGGCAGTTAAATTTTCATTATGAGTGGTAATTAGGGAAGACGCTTCAAACAACGTACAATCTTCATCCTGTGCTATTTCCTCCCTTTGCAAATAGATTAGCATCCTTTAAGTTCTTGGGACAGCCTCTGTCACTCACATTTTGTAACTTTCTCAAGTGTGGAAGAGGCAGAAGCTGCAAGCTCTGAGTTTCCATACGTTCTGTTCTGTGAGCTGCTTTTTTCTCCCCGTGAGTGAGACCACTATGAGGCCCAGTCCTAAGAAGCTGGCTTTTCCTTAACCTATCACTCCCACCCAGGGTGAGAGAAGGAACAGACATTCCGGAAATTCCTATTGGGTAGCAGGCATCATGTTTATTATGCTACTTGGGTTCCCTTATTTAATCTCTCTGGAGCCCTTCAAGGCAGGGAGGATTATTTCCTATTTAGAGAGGAGAACATTGAGACTCGGAAAGATTAAGTCATTTATGTAAGGTTACACAGCTGGTAAGTGGCAGAGTCAGGATTTGAACCCAGGCCTGAGGCTTGTGATTATGCTCCTACGTACTGAATATAATGTATTCCCCCAGTAAGGATTCTTGATTGGCATCAGTGGGGACACCATCAGGGGCTTATATCTCAGAGGTATAGAACACTTTTCTACAAACAACATGCTGTTGGAAGAATCCCTGTAAGCAGGCAGCTGACTTAAACCCGACATAACAGAAATTAAGTCCCTTTACCTTTCCTGTGAAGGGGAAATACCACCGTCCTCCCCCAACAAGTTCCTGGGTTACATGAGCTGGTAACTGATGAGGGGTGAGAGGGGGCATCAGCTTGCTGACTTGCCTCTGGCAAGGACTCATGGGAATGACATGCTGCTCTTGTGATGTGCATTAATGCTGTCACACAAAACATAGGAGGGCCATACTGTGTCATTGGCTGTTGTGACCATTGTCAGCAGAGCTGACCAACAGCTGAGCTCTGATTGCTGACACTGTGTTGCCAGCAATGATATATGAAGCAGTGAGGGCCCAGCTGGATTGCTAGATGCCCAGGTTGGGTGTACAGAGCTGATGGTTGGAAGAATTCTGTCTGGACTTTTCACCAAGAAAATTTGATGTCATTATTTGGAAAAATCCAGGACATGTTTCTTAAAAAAAATAATATCAACACATATTTTTGAGCATTCTATCTTTATATACAGCATTTTCCTGAAAGTGTTGAGGGGTCCGTATATTAAGGTTCCTGCCTTCAAAAGAGATTTTTTCATTGATTTAGCAGGAATTTGCTAAGCATCTGCTATATTCAAGGCCCTGTTGCAGGACTGGAAATAGAGCTGTGAGCAAGACAGAGTCCCTGACTTGCAGCTTATATTTTGATAGGAAAGTAAACAAATGAATTGACCAAGTCACTTCAGACAGCAGGGCTGTGCAGGGCTCATTTGCACCAGCCCGAGACCACGACCTGAGCCAAAACCAAGAGTCAGATGCTTAACTGACTGGGCCAACCAGGGAACCCCACCCCTTTTTTTATCCTAGTAAAAAAACACATGAGATCTAACTTCTTAACACATTTTTAAGTGTAGAGTACAGTATTGGTAGCTGTAAGCACAGCAGATCTAGAACTTTTTCATTTGGCACAACTGAAAACTTTATGTCTGTTTCATGCCTTCTTAACTGAACATGATTTTCACTCTGCCTGGTGTGAACTTGTTCATCCTACAAGATGCCCTCAAGGCATCCCTCTCTCTGAAGCCATTCCCAATCCCTCTCCTTTCCATATCATTAGCCTACTTTGGACTTGTCACTATTATATTACACAGACTGTGCCTGCTGAAATGTGTACATTGCCTGCCTGACTTCCCCACTAAGCCATGAACTTTTGCCCAAAGCCTGGTTTGTTTTTCATATGGTGATTTTCAACACCTGGTTGAGGCCTAGCACTTCTCTCACTTTGTGTTATCGGGTGTTTTTAGATGGCTGGAGTACATCATTCCCGTGGCAATGCAAATAGATACCCCTGATATGACAGGTGTAAACAATGCAGTCTGATCAAGGAAAGGAATTGGTTAATTCAGACGAGGGTTGCAACTTGAGGAGGAGAAGAGGGGATCAGGAGTGACTGTGAAGGGAGGCGTTTAACCATGTGCTGGAAGGATGACGGATTTCAACAGGCACAGTGTGGAAAAGGATATTACAAGATCTTTTTTTTTTTTTTTTTTTTAATGGAGAGTTAACGTTGGTACCATCCTGGCAGTGAGAATCCAGTGAGATTTTGCCCAAGAATCCAGACCCCCACAAAGAGGCAGTCACTCAGGGTGTGTGTGAGTGAATGAATCAGCCCATAAAAGCCTTCTTCAGCCACCCTCCTGCTCTGCCCCCAGGTAGTCAAGTAAGTGGAACTGGCTTTCTTACTTAGGAGCTTAAATGGCTACTACCCATGGAGAGGGACTGGTGTTTGTATGTGTAAGCACTAAAAGGCTGTCACGTTAGCTGGTATAAAATTAGCCACGTAATGGCCTCTGCCGTTAGAGGCCCTTTTGAATAGATGCCACTGGTTCTTATAAATCCCATGGATTTAGCTTGAATAAAAATCATTTGTTTTACAAAAATAGATACAGTTTTTTCTTTTATTAAAAGCAACTTGAGTCACCATAGTTTGTTTAAAACCAATGAAAGGATAATCTGAATTTAATAGCATGTTGGAAAATGAGTTATGTAGGAAATAAGGATTCTCACTGCTGATTGCATAGCATTGAGGCATATAGTCGGGTAACCTGTTTTTTCAAAATACTTTAAGTCACAATAGGCCATCTGTGCTTTCCAGCTTTATTTTTTGCCGATATTCTAAATCCAGTGTCCATCTCAACTCCTGATGGAAGACACTTGCTCTGACAGTGATGTCTACGGTGTTTTTACCAGAACTCCTGGCATGATCAATATACCTACCCACTCGCACACCTTCTGCCACCAGCTGTCACTTTTGCACACTTACTGTGTGCATTATCTCATTTAGCCCTCACCACAGTGCTCACAGCTAAGTATATAATCTCACTTTGCAGTGAGGAAACAGCATCGTAGAGGTCACATGATTTTGCCCAAGATCACCAGAGCTAGTGGATGGCAAGGCTGAGTTTTGATTCTAAAGTTGGTGGTGGGTTCCCATTTATTACTCCCAGAGAAACATCCCAGATTCTTAAACTGACCTCAGAAGACATGATTCCTGTTGCTTTTTACTCCCCTAGAAACCATTGCGAAATGATAGTTTTATTTAACACCACTTTCTTCTTCCGCAAGTGGAAATAGAATGTTCTACCTCTGGCTAGTTTCATTCTAAGTTGAAAAATCATTTGGGAATTGAAAAAATTAGGAAATTTCATCTTTTTTGTCTGTCCAAAAAAAAATAGGATAAGATAGTGACTCAGCTACCTACCTTGATATTTTGAATTTCTCAAGGTGACCTGACTGAACTCAATTTATTTAACTTGGGTATAAAAGAAGGTTTTCACATTTCTGGCTAAAGTAATTTACAGTTTTAGAATATACAGACTTAATGATAACAATATTAATAGCTTTTTCTGTATTTAAAGAAAAATACAAGGGGTGTGCTTTTAGTTTTAGAGAAATGCAGTTGTTTGTGAAATGTCGTTGTCCTCTTTCAAAAGTATTTTTTAAATATCCAGGATTGATCTTCCGATATTAAGATGATTCATTTCTCAGTGATGTTAAGAAGCGTTTACTTGATTTCACTTTAACAAGTAAAATAATTAGATCATGACCATGTTTTCTGAAGAAGCCATAAAGTTAATCTAAAAACAAGAGAATCAAAGAAAATTATTGCTTGAAAACCAGGTAATGTCTATACATCTCCTTTTCTGAGTTACGGGTTTTTAAAATACCAAGTTTATAAACTATCAGGACAAAAATAGATCACTGGATGCCAGGGGCTTAGGTAAGGGGAGGGTTTGACCAGTAAAGGGCAGCACAAGGGAATTTTTCAGAGTAATGAGACTGTTCAGTATCCTGACTGTGATGGTATGTGAGCTTCAGACTCATAAAACTGAATACCAAAAGAAAAAAAATCTGTCTTGATTATATCATACAGTGGTTGCATTTGTGTACACATTCGTCAAAACAAATCAAACACTTAAAAATGGGTGAATCTAGTTGTATGTAAATTAGACCTCAATAAAGTTGCTTTTTAAAAAAAGTCAACCTGGGCTATACCCTGAGTCCTGGAGGCCTGCAGAGAGGACAGTTCCAGAAGCACCTGGTCTCTAAGTCCCCCGCCTTCCCACAGGGCAATGCTGAAAATATGAGGAATGTTTTAAGTCTATGTCGAGACAAAAAGGTCTGGGTAGGGATGAGGGACTGAGATTTCCCTGCTGGGACTGGATCTCGCTTAACATCTGTCACTTACTCTGCATTTATCACCATTCTCATCTGTACAGTGGGAATAGTAATTTCCTGTCCTCTTACCTCCCAGGTTTATAGTACCCAGGCTTGTAGTAAAGATTAAATTGGTAAGTTCTTTGAAAAGGACAAAGCACTTTTTAAATTAGAAGCCTTATTTTTCAGACAGAAGGTTTCTGTTATACCTGCCTCTGGTTGATTTTACTCCCAGACGTTGTTTGAGAGACGGGTGGGAAGGATGAGTGATGAGTCTGAGCCCAGCCTGGTCAGACCTGTCACTGCTGGCCATTGCCAAATGCAGGGCAGTCCCTACATCTCATTCTTATCTGTTTAGTGAGCTTTCTGTGGGCCCTAACTCTATGCCAGGCCCTGGGCGATGTGCTGTGTGGGACACGTTGATAAAAAGGACTCATTCTCTACTCTTAAGGAGCACAGATACTGTGAGCACGGTGTGAGAAATGCCATAGGAGGGTTCAGGCCCAGTCTAGGGAAACAGGCTGAAGCAGTTCCTTTCGGTTTGGGCTTTTGTAAGAAACCTCTCACAAGGAAGTGGCTTGTGAGCTGGTGGCATTCAGGGGCCACCTCCTCCCCAGGACAAGTCCTTTATTTGGTCCAGCACCATCACATAATTATTGAGCAGTTATTTGGTGTCAAGGACTTGTGCAAAAGTGAACCAAAAATGGATTTTCATGGAGTCTTTGGTCTTCTTCATTCTTTTGCTCATTACACACCTCATGGGTCCTCTGTGTCAGACGCTGTGTCAGGAGTGAGTATGCAGTAGGACCCAGAGTCACTGCTTTGGAGTTGCTCCTTGTCTCTTGGGAGAGCTTGACAGTAAATGGGCTGTTACCTAACTGAGATTGAAGCTGTGTTCCTGGTAACTCTGGACGCTGGAGGAGCATAAAGGAGCACCTGTTCCATCCTTGGTCTGGGAAGACATGCTGAAGGAGGTCACGTCTCGGCTGAACCTGAGTCACTAGTAGGAATTAGTAGGTGAAGAAGATGAAAGCAGGGATGGAAGGTGTTGTAAGCCGAGGAAAAGGCACGTGTGTAGAGGCACAGAAGAGGCTGCGGAGTGTGTTTGGCAGCTGCTCAACGTGGCCGGAGAGGCGGGGCTGTGTAGAGAGGGGTCCAGTTTACTGTGGGGGGAGGGGAACAGGAAGAGGCTTTTGCAGCTTCGGCCACAGGCTCCCCAGGACCTCGGGACAGGCCCAAGGGAATGCAGGGCCTCTGGAACTAATGCTGTTTGAAACAAGGCTTCTCTGCTTTCCATGCGGGGCCCTTCCCCAGAGCTCAGCTGGGCTCCGCAGTCAGCTCTCCAGGGCAAGCTCCATTAGCTGCCTGCAGACAGGTGGCCGGCTTCCCTGCTGCCCTCTCACCGCCACGCTCACACAGCCCCTCTAATTAGTTATTGATCTGCTGTTTTATTGTGGCTTTGCTGCCCGCTTCTGTATTTAGTCGATTCCCAAGTTAATGAAACCAAATTCTGTAACCCCCCCCATTTCTGCTTCTGCACACCCACTGCCCCCAATCACTTCTGTCCCTGCTACCACTCCAACAGAATGACTCCAAACAAAGACCACTGAAATGAGCTTTACTCCTGCTAACAGGCAGTAGAGAAACAGCTGTAGAGTACACCTGTTAACTTTGTCAGGTCAAGGCCCCCCCAGATCCTTCCACGGTGATCTGCAGGCTGGCTACAGTGGGAGACCAATGGGGAACAAAGAGCTTCCCCCACCCTCACGCTCCTGTATCTGGGGTGGTTTGGGGAAAACTGCCCCTTCTTTTCCTGTCAGTTTTCATCTGGTCATTTAACTTCTCTTAGCCTCCATTTCCCTAAAATAGGTATTCTGGGGTGTCTTCCCAGAGCATTGTGAGGATCTTTTGGGATACTCTGAAACGTCTTTGAATTTGAAAACAGCAAAATAGTATGAGGAGTAATGAGTTTGCTGTTACTCTTAGAAGTGATTGGGATTCAGGAAAATCCAGAATGGAGTGTTAGATGCAGAGAAAATTACTGCTCTACCCCCTGCTCAACGTTTATATCAGATGAAACTGAATTAAAAAGAACGTCAAAACAAGGGATTAATACCCAGAATGTATAAAGAACTGCAGTAACTCGACAACAACAACAGAAACCTGGCTAAAAATGGGCAAAGGGCTTAAATAGACATTTCTCCAAAAAAGACATGGAAATGGCCAGTACATCTACATGAAAAGATGTTCAGCATCACTAATCATAAGGGAAACGCAGATCAAAACCACAGTGAGATACCGCTTCACACCCATCAGGATGGCTCTTACTGAAAAATAATAATAATAAATAACAAAAAACAGAGCTTGCCAGTGATACGGAGAAATGGAACCCTTGTTCATTGCTGAAGGGTGGCTTCCAGGGGCCGGGGAGAGGGGGAATGGGAAATCAGTGTGGGTAGCTAGTATCAGTTGGGAAAGATAAATTCTGAAGATGGATCATGGTGATGGTTGTGAATGTACTTAATGCCGCTGAATTTTACACTTAAAAATGGTTAAAATGGTAAATGTTATGTGTATTTAATTTTTAAGATGATAATGTAAAAAGATGGTTTAAATGGTAGTTTTGTATTATGTACATGTTATAACAACTTTTTTTTTTGGGAGAGAGAGAGCGAGCATGTGTCCAGGTTGGGGGGGGCTTCTAGAGGGAGAGGGAGAGAGAATCCTAAGCAGACTTGCCCAGCATGAAGCCTGATGAGGTTCCGTCTCATGACCCTGAGATCATGACCTGAGCTAAAACCGACAGTTGGATGTTTAACCGACTAAGCCACCCAGGTGCTCCTGTTAGCACAATTTTATAAGAAGAACGTCAAAGATAACTTCCAAGGGGAATAGAAACCTCTGACTGGCAGCCTGTGGCCCATGAAGATTAGAGCAGTAGTTCAGCCTCGTTGGCCTAGAGCCTGGGACTCTATGGGATGCAGAGGCTTATAAACCCTCCAGGCCTTTCTTGGCTCCTGCTGGTGTAGTTATTGCCCAGGTGCTCAGGAGAGCTCCCCAGGGGACTGGGCCAGGGTGATGGCCCCACTGGCCTTACTCTTAATGGGGCATCACTGCCCAAGATAGTGATTTTCCATTCTAGTCCTGCCCCAGCCTCTCAGCTGGGTTTGGACCTTCTTCCTTGATTTGTGGGGAGCACTGCAGGTGTCCTGGGCCAGTGCCAGCAGCAGCTGATCCACCCGCCCCAGAGGGCTGAACACCACGAGGAAATTTCCACAGCTTTCTCGGCCCTCTCCATGTTCTCAGGGTGACTTATCCTCTGTTCTCTGTAGGTTTTCTTCTCCTCCGCCTGCAGTGTTGCCGTGGATGCCACCCTGAGGCAGAAAGCGGAAAAGTTCCAAGCTCACCTGACCAAGAAGTTTCGGTGGGACTTTGAGGCAGAGCCAGAGGACTGTGCCCCGGTGGTGGTGGAGCTCCCTGAGGGTGTAGAGACGGGCTAACTGGGAATGCTGTCAGCCAGGGGAGGCCTCTTCCCCTATAGCTGCAGTGTTGGCCTCTCCATTCATCCCTTCCTTCTGGGACCTGAGGGGGTAGGGTAGTGGCCGCACCAGATTCTGCAGAGATGGAGCCAGAATTCCCTCTTCCACCAGTAAATCCGTTTCTTCGGTGCCTAAGAGGCAGTATGCATCCGAAGCCACCTTCATGGGTTCCTGTCAGCCTGGCCACGAGGCGAACCTGACCAGATTCCAGATGGGCTCTTACAGAAGCTCTCAGGAGAGACCTGCCTCAGCAGCACCCTACTTCCTTCCAAAGGAGAAGAATGTGAGCCAATAGCCTAAGGAAACTGATTATTTATTCCACAGAATGGTTAGAAAACAAGAAACTCTGGACCACAGAGGGTTTGAGTGAACAGTTGGTGATTTAAAAGTTAAACAGGGTGAGAGAGAGATGAGCTAGAATTTCTGCCTGTCCTTGTTGAATGGGAACGCATCACAGAAGACACGGGCATGGGACCACCAGGAGCTCCAGAGTGTGGAGAGGGGACCCAGAAGACAGTTGGATTGAGTCTGACAAATGGTCAGTTTTTGCTTTCTCCAAGTTTCTTCCTTCTGTCCAGAGGTCCGAGTGGGTAGTTGTCCAAGACTCTTGTGGCTCCTGACCTCAGGGGCTTTGCCGAAGCCACATCCTTCCCATCTGTCCCATTTTGAGGCCTCAGACCCAGAGGTGGGACTTGGCAACCCTTCCATAGGGCTCCATTCCTCACCAGAGCCACCATGACTCTTTCTGGTGACCTGGAGATGGAACAACAAAGAGGGAGGTTCTTGCTCTGGAGAGCCTTTATTCAGGGCTCTGTGGAGGACCTGGCCAGCCCACGTCTTCTCAGTCCTGCCATGGAGCTGTCAGCCACAGGAGTAATGATGCTTGCATTTCCCCGGAGTCCTGAGGCTGTGCCCGTCACACACAGGTCCTGCCACCCTGACCTCAAACCGCTGTACTCCAGCAAGAGCCCCTGCTTTCCCAAGGTGCAGCTCACACCAGGTTTCTGAATGCGAATCCATGCTGGTTAAGACTTTTGGTTTCACTTGTTTCCTTGGAGATGTTTTGCCAAGAGCATAATGTACATTAAAGTCTTTGAGTTGAGACTAAATCCCCTTGTGTGAGTCTCTCTTGCAGTTAATTTGTCCACTTCTCGGCTGCCAGGCCACTGTCCATAGACACACTTCTCCCTGCTGAGCACCAGGAGACCCTGCCCGGCATCTTCAGTCTCTGGAGAGGAGGCAGGCAGCCAGCGCTGCCTGCTATTAACCAGTGGGGCCGCCGAGACAGGCATACCTGAAGGAAGGATTGAGGCCCTGTAGCTTTATAATAACCAGAAATTATTCTCTTCCTCCCAAAGCCCACTCATCACAACTACTTGGGGAGCTTGTTAGAAGTGCACATTCCAAAGGAAGAAATTCCTGGTCCATGCTATAACGTGGATGAACCCCTGAAAACGTCATGCCGAGTGAACAAAGCCAGACACAGACCCCATGTTACATGAGTCCATTCGTAGGGATTGTCCAGGACAGACAGATCCACAGGGAGGGCAGTTACTGGTTGCCAGGGACTGGGAGAGTGGGGAATGGGTTTGACTGCTACCGGTTACAGGGTTTTCTTCTGAGGTGATGGAAAGGTTCTGGACTTAGTGGTGATGATTGTACAACCTACTACAACAACTGTACAACAATACTAAAAACCACAGAAAGTACTCACTTAACATGGGGAATTTTATGCTATGCGAATTATATCTCACTAATAATTTTTTTAAGTGCATATTCCCAAGTCCCACCCTGTAGGGATTCCGAGGCAGTGAATCTGGATATGGCCTGGGTTCTAAGGCACACTTAGTTTTGAAAAACTACCCAGAAGTGACAGCATTGCAAGTTAGTACCTAGAGCTCCACTGGGACAGAATTTGTTTTGCACTAACATTGTCAGGGCAGCACGTGGAAGTGGGGATAACATGACTTTGCTCAGCAAGCTGTTGGTCTTCTGTCTCCACAGACCTGCTACCCCCCAAGTGCCGTGTTCTGTTACTTACTCCTCACAAAAATAGGGGGTAAGTGCTACTATTTCCCCCATTTTACGAATAAGAAAATGGGCTCAGAGAACTTCACTCATTCTGTCGGGACCCCACAGCTAGGAGGGACTGAGGACAAGAGTCAAACCCAAGCGCCTTGGTGTCCAGGGCCCCTGACAGCCTTCTCTCCCTGCTTCCCAGACGGAGCCTTGGTCCTGGCGCCAGCCAGCTGTGCGACTTCAGACGAGCCCCTTCCGTTCTCTGGGCCTCGGTCTACTTACACATAAAGTAAGAGAGTTTGCTTGGATTTAGGGTTTCTGATGGTAGATTCTCCAGGCTCCCTCAGGTATTTAGAAGTGGACTGTTGTGTTATTTTAAATGTTTTCAAAAGAGAAACTACGTTTGCACAGGATAACGTGACTGAGCTGACAAAAAACCAATAGGTCTCTCGTTCGGGGGCCGGAGTGACATCGACTCCCATCTTTTGTGTGTCCCAGCTGGCAGTCTTCTATGTGTCTTTGATGAATAAAAAATGTGAAAACAAATTAATTATTACTTAATACTTGCAGTATTTCTGGAAGACAGAAACCTTGCAAACGGAGAGCCGGTGGCCTTGCTGATCTGTAAGCTCCTTCCAGTTCTAACACATCTAAAAGTGAAGCTTTTGGCAGGACCTGGCCTGATTTCCAAATCCCCTCAAATGCAGGCCTCCTGAGGTCTGACTCTTATTTGCAAGGCTGCTTTATCCTATTAACAGAATCAGCAGAGGTAGCAAGTCTCCAACCACTCCCACTGTCCCCACGGCAGGCCTCGCTGATCTGAGCCCATCCCTCTAATTTCTCACCACTTGAGCAGCGGAGATCCCGCCGCGGACTGCCTCTCACCATCGATAATTACTTTCCCCACATCATCCCCTTGTAAATATGATTTAATATGCCCAGGGTACCATGACATGTTGGTTTCTCCAACTAATCAGACTCTGGCTTGACCAAAATGCCATCCCTTGCTGAAATAGGGGCTGGAGACGCTGAGTGAATTCCTGGGCGAAGCCATCACCGAGCCTCCGCCCCATGGTCACATCCTCCAAATCCAAAGCAGAACAGAGTGGGGACACTCACCTGAGCTACCTGCTGACACTGGGGGCGGTGTGGCTCCGCTCTTCTCTTCAGTCCCCTGCTGACCAGGGCACTTCTTTGCCTCAGGGTGCCATACATCTGGCCCAGGCAGGCTTTGTTTTCACTAGAACATTATACCTCCAGAGTATCCAAGGTCTCCTTGCTGGTGCATTCTCCCCCAAACCTGGGCTCCTGCCCTGGACTGGCCTCCCGGCTGAGATGGGGGGAGGGGGAATGGCAGCCAGAAGTAGTGTCAGCTGTTCCCTACTGGGGGGGGGAGGGGTGTGTCCCCAACCTTCCAGGCCTTCTGTCCTGTGTCCTCAATCTAGTGCTCACGGGCCTCAACTCACTAGGTTTCTCTGGAGAACAGGGATCCTGGGGGCTGTCAGTCAAAATGTTTGGTGGGAGGAAGGTGGAAGTAGGGAGCTTCTCAGTCCAATATCAGATGGGCTGTACGAAAGAAATTCCACAGGTCTGTCTTTCTTGGATCTTTGTCTACCTTCTTCCCTCCCTGGATTTCTCCATTTTTCCTGTGTCACCTCCAGACATTGTTCCCTGGCCCAAGTCTGGACTTCACACTTCTAAAGGGATGCTGACAGATGGGTTACATTTTGGCAAAAGGAAGCTGGCACATGAGACGCAGCTAGAGAAAAATGTGGGGCCCTCACCCAAGAGCAGAGAGGCTGGGAGAGCTGTCTTGAAGGAGGAGGTCTCTGCGCCCTTGAGAGGGTGGAGTTGGGACCCACGGGAGAAGTTACAGGGAGGCGACGGTAGGCTCTGTTCCTTCTTCATGCAAACAGTACTTTCTGAGTGCTGTCCCGGTGGTGAGCTTACGCTCATTCGGGGGGAGGGGCAGACAACAGGCATAAGAAGTAGGTTACAGAGATTGTTAGTTGTAAGAAATGCTCTGGAAAAAACTAGAGCAGGATAAGGAACATTGAAAGTCCTGGCAGGGTAAGAGGACATAGGGTGATTTAAATGGGGTGACATTTGAGCACAGATTTTGAAGGTGAGCAAGGAGTCATGTGGGCATCTGGGGGAAGAGGGTTCCAGGCAGAATGAACAGAGAATGCAAAGGCCTTGGGGCAAGAGCATGCCTGGTGTGTTCCAGGAACAGCGGGGTTCCGTATGGTGAGGGTGTGGTGATCAAAGGAGGTCAGCGGGGAAATCTGGGCAGCTGCAAAAGGTCAAACTGTCTAGGGCTTAGGGGCTGTTGTAAGAACATTGCATTTCACTCAGTGAGACGGGAACCCATTAGAGAGGGTTTTAGGCAGAGAGTGACATGGTCTGACTTTTGTTTTAACAGGATCACAAGCTGCTTCGCTGGACACAGACTACAGGGGGGATGGGCAGAAGCAGGGAGACAGGGAAGGAAGCTAGAGCACTGATCCAGGTGACAGAAGGCTCTGACTGCGGTCCGAGTCAGGTGTGCATGCTGGGCTGCATTCATGACTCAGGTGAAGGGTGCACTGGAGGCCTTCCAAGGGCTCTGCTAGCCCGATAACCCCTCACTTCTCCAAAGGCTCAGTATCTAGGCAGAATACCAGCTCATTGGGTCCCCATCCCCACACAAGTCCCCACTCTCCCGTCCCATTGGGGGTCTGTAAGTTGCTGTCACGCGGTAATCTTATGGCTCACAGAGAGCTGAGGGCAAGTGAAGCCCCCGTTGGTCCTCATCTATCCTGCCTGGTCAAGGACCGTTCCTGCCCCCACTTCCCACCACCGTGGTTGTGTGGACTTCTGATGATTCGGAGGACCTGGCATGTAGCAGGGCCCTCCTCCCGGCTGCCTGGCACTGTGTCGGGTCCTTACCTTATTCGAGCGGAGTGCCAGCTCTTCAAGGAAGGCCTTATTCTTCATGGTTCAGACAAGGAAAGCAAGGCTCAGAGAGGTGAGGCACAGGCCAGCGTGTCCCAGAGCCAGAATTCCAGCCTCCTGCAGGAGGGCAGGGCTGCCCTGCTACCGGCACGTGCGCCTTCATAAG